GATAGTCGAGCAATTGGGTTATGTGATTTATCAACTACTACATTAGATCGTTTATCAACTACTACAATCAGCTAGCTAGGATGTCGTGACTTTCGGTCTAATGGACTTTCTTTCTCGACGCTACCCCCAATCTATTTTATTGTTCTTTTGGAATTGATTGATTGGAATGTGCTTAATATTTTAAAAAACCTTTAAATTCTAATCTCTGACCTTTAAAATCTAAATCTAATTAAAACCTTTTTTCAGGTGGATGCTCTTGCAGCCGTGGCATTGAAATCAAAAGATTTATCTGGTTTGGGTTTCTCTGTGCGCGGATCAATGAGTGAAGGGATTTACATAAGAGATGTGTTACCACAAGGGCCAGCGCAAGAGTCGCAGAATGTTTTTGCTGGTAAGAAAGCTTTTGGGTTGATTCTGGGCTGTGTGCTTATACTAGTGATCTTAAAATTTATTTGAATCTACTCGTCAATGCTTATCAAACACCAGTTTGAGCTGGACGCGTTAAAGCTCTTTTAAAGCATTTGTTTTTATAGGGAGAAAGAAAGAAGAAAGAAGAAAAGAAGAAAGAAAGAAGAAAGAAAGAGGAAAGAAAGAAGAAAGAAGGAAGAAGAAAGAAGAAAGAAAGAAATTTAAGCTATAATAGTTAAATTTTCAGACTAATTGGTTCAGCGGTTCTTTAAGGAGCTCTCAAAACGTATATAAGCTCTCAAAGCCCCGCCCCTTTTCCAAGTAGCTAACTTTGAATTCAAATTTTTTGGGTTAGTGTTTAATTTGAATATTTTTGTTATAATTAGATGCCCGCCAAGTCTTTTTTTTCTAAATTGTATATAAAAATTAATTTACATTAAAAAACCACCAAAAAAATTAAACCTCAAAGTTGGATTGTCAATGGCGGCAGAGGTCCTTTATACTTGGGGCCCCGCCCCTTTTGTGATTGACACTTTGACTTTAAGCTCAAATTTCTTGGTGTTTGGAAAAACCATCAGAAAAACATCAACAAAAAATCAAAATTGGCAATGGGAACGTGGGGGTTTTATATTAGGGCCGGCTTTTTCCTTCCCTTTTGTTTAGCTCAAATTTCTTGGCTTTGGGCTATCCAATTTCAATAGTTTTTATATCAATCGATAGAAAAAGACTTGGCGCATCTAATGATACCAAAAATTTATAAATTGGACAACCCAACACCGAGAAATTTGACCTCAAAGTTTGCTAATGGGATTGCTAATGGGAAAAGGGGCGGGGCTTCCTACAATCCTTGTCAAGACCAAAATAAGTTTCCTGGCGCCTGGATCTGATCTATTTCAATTAGAACATCGCTGACTAAGAGCATCCTTCTAGGTGATCGCATTCGCGCTTGTGGATCTCTTTTGACGAGATGGTTTTCACCGACGCGATCACTCTCCTCTCCTATGCTTCTCCATATAAAGTAAATCATTTTTTTTAAAAGTTTAAAGCTCATTCTGGATGTCACACTTGCAAATGAAATTGTTATTTTTTAAAAAACAGGTGAAACTCGAGTTGGAGCGGAAAGTGGTGGACAGCGGTTCGGAGTCGCTTTCTGCTGATTCGCGTGGGTTTTAAAAGAACTTCGAAAGCTCCAGATATCTCTTAATTCAATTCCTATTCAATTTCTATTCAATTTCTTTTCTAATCACCCTTTTATTTCAATTTTCAGCCGCTCCCCGACTTCATCCACTTTTCCGGAGCAACTCCCTCCGCCAGCGAATTCAATTCAATCCAACTTGGTGAATAAACTAAAAAAATGCGCAGAACTTGTAGTGTGCGTTCCAGCTTGAAAATCCCATCAAATAGAAAACCGATTTTCTTAGTGTTTCCCCGCCAATTCGGGTCGAGTCAGAGTCGACGACGCAACGCTTCGCCCTTCCCCAATCACCACAACAAAAAAGGGATGAATTCAAAGAACAAATCTATCATTCAATGGAATCAATCAAGTAAATAGCTTTTGAATTGGAATCTCTCAAAAACGAATGTTTTTTTTAGAGAACCAGAGGAGATCTTGAAATTCGAAAGTCAGTCGATTTCTGAAAAAATAATTGATGAACAACAAGGTCAATTTTTGGTTTTAAAACGCGTGTGCACTCCAGAATAGCCAAAATCGAAAAAATAATTGTACCAGAATGTGTTTAGACTCGCAAAAGTTGCACTCGAAGATGTCATCATCGGACTATTCGTCGAACTCGGATGTGTCGTCGATCCCAGCCGAACAATTGAATGAGGTGAGGCCTAATGATCTAAAGATCTCGATAGAATTCGTTAGATTCTCTCTTTTCAGTCAGGAATTCAGCTGATAGACCCCAAATTCTTGGCCTTTTTCTGATCCTGGCCTTATCTAGCCTTATCTATGACCTATTTAGGCTAATAATCAATCCAGGGTGGATCCTGGAAAGCACTAGGGCGGCTAGAAAATTTTGAGATCAAAAGCTACAAGTTCACTTTTGGCCGAGTGGCTAGCGAGCTGGGCTGGCAGTCACACGACCCGGGTTCGATTCCGGTCGCGAACTTCTTCAACCAATTGATTTCTAAAATAGATTTTTAGCTGTAGTGACATCCATAGTTTCCGAAATGCTTGATGAGAAAAGTTTTGCGCTGTGAATTGGGTGAAAAGGGAGTTCGATTTCGGTAGCTGCTAAACTGGCCTTTTTCTAGGAACATAAAGCCAAGAAAATGATCAAATTAGGAGTTTTTGATTTTTAGGAGAATAAAGAAGATGGTCGATCGATGGGTGAAAGTGCTTTCGTCGACCACAGACGATGAGAAGATCTCCGATCATTTAGAGGTGAAGCTGGGAAGTTTATTGGAAAATCAAATCTATTGGCTTTATTTGCTTCTTAACGTTGCGATCGGGTTTAAATCGATTTTTAAAAAGACTCTTAACAAAAGTAGGTTGTTGTTGTAGAAAAACGTTATTGTAGCACTTGTAGCTAATTGTTGTAGCTTTTAAAAGTTAAGTTTCAAAAAGCCGATTATCTCTTTCACGCACCAGAGCCTGTGCCTGGGCCTGAGCTTAAGGTTGAGCCTGAGCCTGAGCCTGAGCCTAAGCCTGAGCCTAAGCCTAAGCCTGAGCCTGGGCCTGGGCCTAAGCCTGAGCCTAAGCCTGGGCCTGAGCCTGGGCCTAAGCCTAAGCCTAAGCCTGAGTCTGAGCCTGAGCCTGAGCCTGAGGCCTGAGCCTGAGCCTGAGCCTGAGCCTAAGCCTGAGCCTGAGCCGAAAAACTCTAAGGCAATAATTGATGGCCATTTTGTAGCCAATTTCCCCTATATTTCTATCAATTTCCAATCAATTTCAACCAATTCAACGATTTCAACGAATTTGCAGACCCTCCTCCCCTCAATCATTCGGCATCGCCGTCAGCCCAACCCCACCCCAACCACAGCCATGCATCGTCCTACCCCGAAAGTCAAACGACTTTGTGATAAGGTCTGTGAATGCTTAGCAAACTACTTAGCAAAACTTCGCAAATCTTTTCCCAAGCAAATTTCAGCCGCCCTCTCCATCAATGTCCCCAGCGATTGGTCGAAGCGCGTCCTCTCCCCAACCACACGTCGAAGTGCGATCCCCATGAAAACCCCGCAATCTGCGCGGCCACCCAGTCGAATTGTAAGTTTTTTTTCCGTGATCTGGAACGCACAGCATAAAACAAGCAAGAGAAAAAGCGGAAAAATTGGTTTTTAAAAATTTCGTTTTTTGCTGTACATCAAACGTTTAAAAATATTCAGTTAAACGGTAAAATTGAGATTTTTATTTAAATTAGGATTTAAATCTGCATTTAATCTATTTCCATTCAAATTCTAGCCCCCACCCACCGCGCGGGCGCCCGATTTCGCGGAGGTGCGCGTCTCGCGGATACCGCGACGAGACAGCGACAAGTCCATCATCATTGGTGGGTTTTTTGATGAGCTTTTGCGGGATTTTAAATCGTATTTGGCAATCCTGGATGTCACACTTGGCAATGAGAAAAAGAGAAACTTTCAGAAAGAAAACTTCCCCGAGTGCCCTCCACATCACTGAATCGAAGCAATACGATGGATGTAAGTGGATTTGCGTTTCAAATTTGCGATTAGCAATTTCAATTTGCATTTAAAACCCAGTGTGCATTCCAGATTGATGGAAATTTGATAGAAAATTTTGAAAGGATAAAGAAATTTTGAAAATATAGTCTTGATCTCATTCGGCTTACTGTACTTTGTATTTAGTCTGTTTTAAGAAGCGAATTTGCATTTAAAACCCAGTGTGCATTCCAGATTGATGGAAAATTGGTAGAAAATTTTGAAAAGACAAAGAAATTTCGAGAAAACAACCTTGGTCTCATTCGGCTTACTGTAGCACTTTGCATTTAGTCTGTTTTAAGAAGCGAATTTGCATTTAAAACCCAGTGTGCATTCCAGATTGATGGAAAATTGGTGAAAATTTTGAAAAAGACAAAGAAATTTCGAGAAAACAACCTTGCTCATTCGGCTTACTGTAGCACTTTGCATTTTTTTCTAATTTTAGTTCTCACTGTTTTCAATAAGAAAACACATTTCCCTACCTTTAAAAACCTCAAAAACAATCGTTTTTGTGTCACCGACTCGGCTTTTTACTCTTTGCAAAAAAATGTTTAAAAGTTTAGCCTGTTTCCTTTTATTTGTGAGTAAGTTTAAGCCATTTATCTTGCCATATAGTTAACGAAAAAAGACACAATTTAAAGCAACACAAACACCTCTGGAAACAATCACACAAGAAAACTCTCGACAAAAAGGAAATGACCCTTGTTATGAGAATAATTGTTAGCAAATAAAAGCAGGTTAAAGGAAAAAAAGGTTAACAATACGAAGACTTTGGCATACAAGAAAGTGTGTAAAATGTGGGAAAGATTTGAAATGAAATCACAAGCGCTAACCGAGAGAGCAATGAAATCTCAGCAGAATTGAAAAATCGAAAGAATTCTTCGGAAAATCACAATAAGGCCTAAGGAGAAAGAGCAAAAACACGAATATACCTATGGATATGCTGCATCAAAATCGATCAAGATCAGCTTTGTGTCCTCGGTTCCGTTTCGTGATCCAACTGCACAGACGAGCAATGTTTCGGTGGCTTTAAGACGCCAAATGCAACCGCCAGATCCACCCGATTGAAGACGAACGAGGTCACGGACGAAAATACCTGAAAATGAAAAAATAAAAAAAACAGAATACCAAACCTCAACATAAATTTCAGCTTGAATAGTTAATGCGCCAAATCATGTAGTTATTAAATTCTACTTTAGAAGAAAACTTGAAGTTTGGACAAATTTGCTTATCTTATGGCCTACGTTACTAGGTAATTTAGAACAACATACCTTTATCCACATCCCAAAGCTTCACCGAGCCATCATCCGAACTTGTTGCCAAAAGTCCCGAGTCGAGCAATTGCAAGGAAGTGATGGCCGACGTATGACCATTTACGCCATGCAAGTGGTGAGTGCACGAGCCACCGTCACGAATGTCCCAAACCTAAAGAAAAGTAAGTAGTTTTTTAAGGATTGATTAAACATACCCGCACGTCCGAGTCGGCATTACACGAGACCAAAATGTTTCCCCGAAGCTGCATCCCAGAGGTGAGACTTTGGTGACCGACAAGAATTGCGATGCATCCTGAAAGAAACAAATATAGATGACGTTGCAACAGAATAGCAAACAAGTAAAACCCACTTCCTCTTCGCACATCCCAGACGCGAATCGTTGTATCAAGACTTCCCGAGACAACAAGATCGCGCTCTGGTTCAAACTAAAACAGAACCCTGAATAAAGCCAAAAATTGACAATTTAACTCACCAAAAGCGAATAGACTCGATTCGTGTGACCTGTCAGCGTGTGCAAACACTCCTCTGTGTGTACATTCCAAACCTAATAGAATATTATAAAACTGAACAAAAAACATTGCAAACCTTTACAGTAAAATCATAGGCACCAGACACAACCCGTTTTCCATCAAATTGCACACAACGCACCTGAAATCTAACTTTGCTTAGGCTAAAACTTTGATACACATACCGCCGCCAAGTGGCCAGTCAAAATGTGAAGGCATTTCCCGTCGACAATGTCCCAGACTCGGAGAGTTTGATCGCGCGACCCAGAAACAAGACTAAAATATTATGCTTTTATTTAAATATTATGCGAAAGCACAAAATTTAGATTACTCACGTTGTGCCATGTAGACTCATGCACCGAACAGTACTCGTATGACCCTGCAGAACATGACGCTGTACACCGGTTTGACCACACCAAACGCGCACCGTTCGATCAGTCGAGCCACTTAAATATTTTAATAGATTTTGCTGCAACAAGTACTTTTGTCTAGAATTTTGTTAGCTTCATTGGAAACACTTATGAATTGCAATAACTAGAGTCTATTAACTAACCTGACAATGTATTTACCATCATCGCTCACTTGAGACGTCCAAACACCACCCATATGGCCAGTCAGAGTGAAAGCCGGCTAAATTAAGACGTACAATCATGACAAAACGAAACAAACTTGAGCATCATCAACATTCCAAACCCGCAACGTATTATCATCTGAACCAGTAACGATACGACCAGAGTGAATTTGTAGACAAGTGATCACATGTTCATCGTGGCCCTAAAAAGAATTTTTCTAGCCAAAGCATTTGTCCAAACCTTAAGAACAGTGCTTGATTGAATCGCTCGGGATCGCCAATTCGAAATGATTCGCTTCTTCCGCAAGTACAACGACTTCCACGACGACCGCTCATAACATCTAGAAAAAATTTCATTTAGTAACAAGTTGCGGCACTAACTGTCCATATGCGATCTCGCGTTCTCGTCGATTCTGATGTGCTTCTTGAAGGTCCATATGTGAGAAGATTGTGATTCCCGCTTGCTCATTCGCTCGATTGGCCGCCCAACCTCCGAGAAAACGAAAGCTAAACAAAAATAAGTTAGTGACGAGCCTTTTTCTAATTGATTTCTTAAGTGTGAACCAGCTCATTTAAACAAACATTATCATTTGTTTTCTTTCCCTTTACATCTTTCTTTGCTGTAGTATTGATAACCGTATTATCCTATATCTTACAAGTCTTAAAATCTAGTTTAATCTAAATCTCAAATATGCACTTTCAAATCTGGTTAAAACCGTAACACACCTTGGTGCATCAGGTTTCACATATCCGTTATCCAAACACTTCCGTCGCCACGTCCGATCATCTTCACAAAGTCGCTGCCACGTCCGCGAAACGCCAGCACAAGCCGTCAAATCGCATGGTGTCAGATAGGCGATTACGTGAAACGCAATCTAAGAATAAACAATGAATTCCACAAGCTTTAACAAAAGACAAACCTCCTCTGGCAACTGTGACAGGAAATCCTTCTGGAACAATGGTTCGATGAGATGCCTGAATTTGAAAATTTCACTGTTTAAGGTCATTCTCTTTACCTCATTGATCGAACTTGTGGATCGGAGAGTGCTCGGACGAGGCTTTGAATGGCAAAGCTCTGTTGAGTCAAAGACATTGCCTGAAATGAAGCAATTTAGGTAACAATCCAGATTAAAAGCGTGCTGAAAATGAATCCGTGCTAAAAATTATTTTGAGATTAAGCTCTGAAAGCGGAAGTCCTCCTATATAAATACAGTGTACCATAATTTACACCAATTACTTTCAAACTTCCACTAAAATACGCAAATTTATTCTACGTGAACTTTTCCCAAACAAAATTACCACTTCTACGCTAGCTAGACCTACAGCTTTAAAGCCGAAATGTAAAACAAAGAAGTGACGTTTGCCTAACTCCAACGTTTCTTCAAGAAAATCTTTCCTTACCTTAAACGAATGTATCCAATCGTGTGCCCGGTGTTGATCTTCATCACTCACAGCGATTTCCTCGCTCGTTTCCCCGTCATCGACCATCATCCGATTGGCTGTCTCCATCGCAGAAGTGCTTCTAAATCAAGAAAATATAATGAATCTGAAAATCAATAACACGGAAACAACACAAATTAAGAGAGCGCAAAAAGCGGAAAGGGGAAAAGAAACCCGTTCACTCGTCGCATTTTTGGTCAATCTCCGGCGCTCGTGCTCGGCTTTTTCTCGCGTGGATCCATGTGATAAGAGAGAAATGCAGTGTACTGCTCAAAAAATGCCGTCTATGGCAAAGATTTTGGTTCAGCCGGATAGCAGCAAGGGGTTTTAAGCTATTTTAAAGTGTTTTGGCGCTTCAATTACAATGATAGGCAACTTAATTAAATTTAGCGCTGAAAACTTTGTGCTAGAACGGAAAATAAGCTTTGCCGCTAAAACTGACGAATGAAAAATTCTTGGCCCCGTTTAGGTTAAGTATCCATAAATTTTTGCCGGCCAGAGTTAAAGATATTCAACTACCTGATTGAAAACTTTGCATTTAAAGCTTAGAAAAATTTTTGTATAAAACGCGCTAAACTGTTTTCCTCTCACAAAATATAGCTTTGAGTACATTCTATCGTAAGCCTTTTGATGGCGCGTTCCAAAACGCGCCCCTTTCGTATATTGAAGATCTTTTGCGATAAATTTCACTCTGGTCAAATCGTTTAGCAAGTGTTTATGTTACGTTCTAGAATCATTCTAGACCGGACGTAACATATAGTAGTGGTGGAAAAAAAGTATTGGTCCCCCAAGCTGTTTTTACTTTTTGCTTCAAAAAAATTTCTACTGAAAGCTTTTTGAATCCGTTCTAAATTTCTAGAAGCTAGAAGAATTAAGCTTCGTAATGTTATAAAAACCTTTGATTTGCAATTTTTTTTGGTTTATTTAACGAGGAAAAATATATGGACACAATATTTGCGAAAATTGGCGGAAAAAAGTATTAGGCTCCTTTCATAATTGTCAGTTTTTTTCTTTTTGCTTGCTTTTTTTATTCTAATACTATTTAATTTAGTGATGACTCACGAACAGGATATCGACACGCCGACAAAGGAGCACATTGTTCGAGCCCGACAAATGGGGATCAAAAAGAAGATTGTCAAAAGACTGTTTCAAGTCTCAAATGCAACGATCAAGAGGCTGTGGAAACAATTTCGTGAGGGGAGAAACGTGCACAGAAAACCGAGAAGTGACCGGCCATCAAAAACTACGGAGCAACAAGATCGAACCCTATAGAAGAATCATATTTTGACGCCGACTGTCACTACCACCGATGGAAAGAATTTTCTAAAGAGCCAGTTTAACGTCAATGTAACAGCGGGAACAGTGAGAAATCGACTTAAAACGTTTGCATTATACTCGAGAAGGCCGGCACGAAAGCTGTTAATGATTCAACGGCGTCGAATGGCTCGTCTAAAACTCGCTTTAGAGCATCAACGCTGAACAATTGAAACTTGGACGCACGTGCTTTTCGGCGACGAAACAAAATTCAATATTTTCAACTCAAATGACTTTTATGTAATCAAAAGACCGATTGGAACACGAGACAAGTTGAAGTACATGGTTCCGACCGCGAAATTTGATGGAGGGGTATAATATGTTGGGATGCTTCTCATCTCAGTCGATCGGGCCTCTCGTTCTTATCGATGGAATTATGGATGGACTCAAATATGCTGAAATATTAACGAAATCAATGCTCCCTCATGCTAGTAAAAATATGGGTCCCGCGTGGCTCTTTTACAAGACAATGACCTAAAACACACAAGCGATTCGATGATGAGCCGAAAAGCGAAGATATCAAATCGTCGTTCTGTTCGTCTTCCAGGCTAGTTTCGCATTAATAACGTTTATCTGCTTCAAACTCCACGTTATTCTCCTAATTGCAACCCTATTGAACATTTATGGGCCACGTGAAACGAAATTTGAAAGGACATGACTTTTACTCAAAGAAGGACCTTTGGGATAAAATCCAAGAGATTTGGAATGGAATTCCAATGTCCGCTCCCAACGAATTGATCGAAAGTATGCCGAGACGAATGAATGCAATCATTAAAGCCCGAGGTGACCTTCTTGAATTCTTTTCTCGATAGGGGGCCCAAAACTTTTTTCCACCACTGTAGCTAGTAGTAGTATTGTGTTCAAAGGTTTCTCGTTTTATTATTTATGGTGTTATCTCTGCTGTAATTTTTCATTTAGGGGAGATGTCGGACAAACTGGAGAGCAACAAGACTCAACTCGAGGCTTTGGAAGAAAAACCCATTCCGATCACTTACTCAGCTTTCATCTGTTTCCTCGCACTCGCATCCACAGCGGCCACTCCCGTCGACCATTTTCGTTTGTGCAATGGCTGAAAAGATTGGTTAGTTTTTAAAAAAATCATAATCATTGGGTCATTGGGTTTCTCGGCTTAAGCTCTAGAAAATTTGCATTCGAACTATGCAATTCATAAACTCGTGAATCTTCGTTTGTTCCAAAACTCACAATCCGTGAATCGCTTGCCTCGGTGCCATCAAAGTGTGCGGCGACGGAAGCGGTGCTCGGTTCGGACCAGCTCCGCAAATTGCTGAAGTCCGTCTGCAAAATTGGATATTGATTTTTGATGACTATTTTAATGATTTTCCATTCTATGCTACGTGATCTACTGAATTTGGTCTAGGAAATCAGGAATTTGCTTGCCCTCAGTCTGAGCTTCACCAATCCCAAATCTGTCTCACCTGTCCAACGCGTGAATCCAGATTCTCGAACTCGGCCACCACAGTGTCAACGGTGTCTCTCGTGTCCGCCAAATCGTCTATTTCCATATGCTCTGCAAAAATGGATTGTTGAGAGTCGAAGAAATGGAAAAATTTTGAAATCATTCATCACTGTAAGTTCACAGTCTAAAAGCAGTTCAATTGCAAATAACTTATTTTTGACAAACCACTGCAAGATCACAACGGATTTTTCAAAATTGATTTCTAATTCTACAATATCTAGATCCAGAATCGACTTAAATCTTATTTTTTACAATTGCAAGCTTGCGGCTGATTTGAAACTATTGAGCTTATTGAGCTTAATACTATTTTTTTAAGCTTTACAAAACTTGTGACGATTAAAAATAAACTTGTTTATCGGTCAAATTTAGTGCCAAATAGAACTTCAATTTTTGAATTTTCTCCAATAATTCTTTGCCTATTTTGCACTAAATCTGATCGATAAGCCTATTAAAAGTGGCTTTTTGGAAAAAATTTTGCAAAACTTTAAAGTGTTTGGTGAGAAAAGAAAGGGGAGAAAAGGGATGTGTATAGAGTACATTCAACAATATCGACACTATAGCATTATGTGGGGTGAAAGGCCGAAAAGAGAAAAATAAAGAAGGGAATTCGGGAAAAGAAAGAAATGAAAGGAATTCACACAATTACCCCCTCCACAAAGCGTTAAGGGAAAATTGAGGGAAATGAGCATATTCAATAATTATCAAAAGATCATTGAGGTCTTTCTTTTAATTTCTTTAGCAATTTAATATAAAAATAAAAAAATAAAAATATATTTTAAAAAAAGTGAAAGTTGAAAGTTTTCCAAATAAGGCACTTGAAAAAATTTATGATTAAGGAATTTTTTCGTTTTTTCGTTTTAATCGTGAAAAATTATTCAAAAAAAATGAATTCTTTCATAAATTTTTTAATGGAATTTCTTTTGTTTAAAAATGGCAAATGTCAAAACGAAGTAACTAAAAATTTGGGGTGTCAGCGACAAGTTCCCGCGCAAGAATTTTGCCACACTCGATTCAATTGTCGAGGAAAGAAAATTTCGAGTAAATTTGACCATCACCCAATGGCAATTTTTCTCGTTTTTCCATATAACAATACATCAAAGTATCAGCAATATTTCTAATAAGTTTCTAGTCAATAATTATCAACTAGAGCTCTTTCATCGTGCTTTACTGTAAGCCAGGTCAACCGGTCACCTCATTTTTGGCTTTAACTATGTGTGAGTTCACAAAGGACATTGATAGTGGAAAGATTCGATAAAAAATAGAGACAAGATTACAGTAGAAAGGGGGCATGAAAATCGATTGGATTAGATGAACAGTATCTAGTATACATAAAACGGAGGAGACGTCTGTCCGTTTGGCAAAAATTGGCAAAAAGAGGTGGCGGTTAGATTGTGCGGAAAACGTGGACCTCCCCAGTGGATCCAGATCTAACAATGATCTAGTATTAGATCTTTTCAAGAGCCTAGCTAAAGAACCGTTGGAAAGATTGTTTCTTTTGGCTTTCAACTTTTGAGAACAAATACATTAATGCAAATTAGGATTACAGTAAAAAGAAGATCAAATAGTCAGCTCAGCATGATCCCTTCAAAAACTGAGTTATCAATGTAAGTTTGTTTTTTGTGACTTTTTTTCCACGCAAATTTACATACAGCTTATCAATTAAAGTACGTAAAGCAGAAACTTGATTGATTGATTGTTTGATTGATTCTTGTGACTCATTTTGGCAATTATGGATGTCACAGCACCTAAAAATCAATTTTTCAAAGCGATTGGTCGAAAAAGTTCTCGACCGGAATCGAACCCGGGTCGTGTGACTGCTAGCCCAGCTTGTCAATAATAGAATAAAATCTTCTTGAATTCGTGGATTCGTTTTTGAAGAAATTCTAGTCAAATCTTTTTCTGAGAACTTTCTTTCCAACCTTAGCAAAAGTATCAGCCAATTTTATGGACGTTTAAATCGAGGATTTGTCTTGCAGCCCGACGACCATCCAATCCCACCCGCTCTCCCGAGTGCCATCAAATTGAGAGATCCCGATGGAAGCAGTATCACACACATTGTTCACGGTTTGTTACTGGTTTACTCTTACAAGGGAAAATCAACTGAGAAAGCTGGCGAAATGCTATGCGACCTATACCATTTGACACAGAATTTGATGCTGATTCTGAATTTATATTCCATTTTTGCTAAATGACAATCTACCAAGAGTTATACGCGTCTAAAGTTTCTTTGAAAATTTGGTTATTTGGGTCTTAGTAGCCTTTTAGTGGCCTCTTAGTGGCCGCCTTAGCGGATTCCTTTCGGTGTAGCCGTGGCCAAGTGGTAGAGCGTTCGTTTCCAGCGTTTTTCGGGTCCAAAAAGTGAACTGAATTTAAGCTGGAATGATAATAATTTTTCAAAAATCTCTAAAATTTTAAAGGAAAGCTGCACTCATTTTTTATGAGTAATTTCTTAGAGTCAACTTGTAAATAATACAGGGTGACCAGAAAATACGGCGAATTTTTTGCGCATCGTCAAATTTAGCCTTGTAGCCTTGGAAGCCTTGTAGACCATGTCCTTCTTGTATCTAGTAGCTTTCATGATTTCTTGAGGCTTCTTGCCATTCTTGTGCAACTCGACGATTGTTATTCGCGCTTTCTCACGATCTTCTTTTGAATTCATGGCGTAGAAAGACCCTAAAATTCAAAGATTATTAATCAGAACAACGAAACAAGCATTATAGGAACATCACAAAAAGACTTGATATCAAAAGGTCGAGAAAAAATTCGCCGTATTTTCTGGTCACCCTGTAGAATAAAATCTTCTTGAAGTTTCGTTTTTGAAGAAATTTCGATCAAACTTTTTTCGAGAACTTTCTTTTCAATATAATATTTTTTTTTATATATTTGGAATGTAAACTGTATTGTAGGGGAATTTGCGTTTGTGTTTCTTCGAAAAAAAAGCCACAATTATCGTGAGTTCTTTTTGCACAAAAGATCCTTACAAGATCTTGCCACATTGATCTCAATTGTGTATCAATAAACCATTCGCTTTTCATTTCCCCGTTTGGTGACCTTTCCCCTATTCTCTTTTTTTTTCCTTTTCTCTGATTGATACGAACACAGATCGATCCTTTTCCCCCATTCATTGCTCATTTCAAATCGGTGTTCCTTTTTCTTTTCATATTCATTCTCAAAATGTCCGTTTCATTCGATTTCACAGGGAAAAAGATTCTGGTAACCGGCGGGAGTCAAGGTTTGGTTTTGGATAAGTTAAGCTTTTCAACTTTGAACTAAAGATTTTATGATTGTTGTTACAAATTGTTACAAAATGATTGTTGTACTATGTGTAGCTGAAAGATACTGTAGTCTGGTCGTCTCAAAGATACTGTAGTCTGTAAGCATACCTAAGCAGGATTATGATCGTTTTTCGCTCATACTTTAGCGAATAAATCAGCTATCGCATAAAGTGCCTTTTTTTCTAGGCATTGGTTTGGACATTTCCAAGCGTTTGGCCAAATCGGGAGCCCGTGTCTACGCTTTGGCGAGGAATGAGACTGCTTTAAAAGCACTCGTCGATGAGGTTACCAAAACAAAAAGAAATCTTTGATTTTATCGAAAAATCTCAGTTCCCTACCGTCACCCCGATCGTTTGTGATGTTTCGGCGAAGAGTGCAGTGATCGAGAAAGCGCTTAAACCGGTACAAACAATTGAAAACCCATCTTGAAACTTCCCATTCAGTTTCTAATCGAACTGTGACTAGTTTTAGAACCTAGAAAACTCTAAAGCCCTACTCTAAAGCTCTAAAATCTAGCCTTTTATCGAGATTTCTTTGATTTCTTCATTCTTTTGTGAAAAGAATTAACCTTTCAATACTGTACTCCAGGGACACTTTGTAGAAAATCGTCTTACGAAATTCAATCCATTTTTCTCTAGCATCATCCATTCGACGGCCTTGTCAACAATGCTGGAATCGCCATCCTTCAGCCAGCGCTCGACGCTGATCAGGAAAGCATTGATAAGTAAGAAAAAGCCTCTGGGAAACGGTAGATCATCAAATCTCTAGTATTTTTCAGAATTCTCACCGTGAATCTCCGTGCACCAATCGTTCTCGCAGGCATTATCGCCAAAGAGATGATCTCAAACGGGGTGAAGGGTTCAATTGTGAACATGTCATCCCAAGCCTCACTTCGTCCAATCGACGATCACATTGCGTACTGTGAGTGATTTGACGTTCTAATAAAGTTTATAGAGTCTAGTACAGTATCCAGTAAGATATACTGCACTGTCCAACATTGACTACAGTACTATAGTAGACGCTAGAGTACTGTATTATTGTAGCCATAGGGTCTGTAAGCTATCTTGGTGCAAAATCAAAAGATCCAATATCCTCTAGGCAGTTCAAAAGCCGGCCTCGACATGGCCACCCGGGTGATGGCTCGTGAATGGGGAAAATCAGGGATCCGCGTGAATACCGTCAATCCGACTGTCGTTTTGACTGAAATGGGCAAAAAGGTGTGTCCAAAAAGAGCTGATCAAGGAAAGAAAACTTCAGAATTGGAGTGACAAGGACAAAGCGGGTCCACTTCTTCAACAAATTCCATTGGGGCATTTTGCAGGTGAATTGAACTGAATAAACAAAATCTAGTCAACTAAATGAACATAAATGATCACAACAATTGCAAATTGCAAATTTGGAATTGTAGTGTGCCCTTTCTTAAATAACGTTTTCTAAAACGTGTCAAAAAGCTACCGTAACCCGTCTACTTTAGCTTCTAAGCCAGGCCAGACCAAGCTTTTCCTCCACTCAACGATCCCAATATTTTAGAACCAAACGATGTCACCTCTTCGGTTCTTTTCCTTCTCAGCGATTCCTCGTCACTCACCACCGGTTCAGCGCTTCCTGTTGATGGAGGATATTCGGCTAATTAGAAGAAAAAGTCCAAAACGCTCATTTATTTCATTAGTACTCAAAAGATGACTTATGTATTTCACTGTAGATAAAATATTTGTCTTTTTTTTGCCTCCTCATTTCGATTATCCTTTGCCAATCGATTGAATGCCCGAAAAGCGAACGATTTCAGCTGATTCCCTAAACAAAAACAAACATATAAAATTAAGCAAAACATAAAATAAAAGCTGCTTAAGTATTCAAAGTTTGATCTATCACATTGCTAAAAGTCTACTCATCAAAAAAAGTGACTTTCCAAAGCTTACGCACCAAAATTTAGTACTTCATTTGTCTTAAATGCATGAAAACTTTGGTTCAGTTTTGTTTGCCATTAATATTTTTAGGCTAAAAACTGTAAAATTTATGTATCCTACTTTCAAAACACCGCTTAAAGGCATGCTATCACTATTTTGTAACGTTTAAAGCCAAGTCATATAACAAAAAGTTGTTTTAAAAGAATCACGTTAAAATTGATAATTTGATCGTTTTAGGTCATTTCGAGGGCTTAAATAACACTTGATACACTGATAAGCTTGCCTTAGACATGCCTATGTTACAAATTTCTACTAACAAAGCCAGCTCACCTCTTGTCAAATTGTGATTGTTGATTTTGCTTCTGTTGTTGGCGGGACTCATCCTTTGGGAGCAATTTGAAGCGAGAAAAACGATCGCGCACCAATTTCTGAAAAAGAAACAAAGTAAATTGGGTTTGAAAATCGATTGAATCTTGCTAATGTTGGGCAATTACCACTATTTAAGATATTTCTGTGTATTTCTGTTGGGCAACTACGACTATTTAAGATATTTCTGTGTATTTCTGTTGAGCAACTACCACTATTTAAGATATTTCTATGCAAGGCACTTACATAAACTTTTGAACTTTTGAACTTGAATCTTCTTTGAAACTGAATTAAGGTGCAAAAAAGTACAGATTTAAGATTCATTTTATTGTCAAACACTCATCGACTTTGTTAAACCTTGACAAATAATGAACCTTTGTGCAAAAACAGTGAAGAAAGACGAGCGACACGCCGATCACTGCGCCAACCATAAAACCCAGAAGCAACGGCGCTATCCACATCTGAACGTTGGTGAACTGAAAAAAGAGAAACATGAAAAAAAAAGTTTGAATAGCCAACTTGCTCATGAATTGCTGAGAAATTGAGCCAAGCAATTTGTAAATCTAACTGTGATCTAACTAGTTTGTAATTTGCAAATCTAACTGTGATCTAACTAGTTTGTAATTTGCAAATCTCTAACTAACTAGTGACCTTCAAAATTTAAACTAGACATTGAGCTGACTCCATCTCAAATCTCAAGCCTTTTAATTGAATAAAGCCTCTTATTTTGTGAAAAGCATTATAATTGGCATCTTTACTTGTTGATCAAAAGTTTACAGACGAGAATGACTAAAACTTAAGGCACGTCCTCTTCTAATTTAGGTTCAACTGCACATAAAAGCAGCTGCACAATCAAATCTTAGCCATCATGCCTTAATTCAGTCTTTTTGAGAAATTTTACCTCTTAATCTACAACATCCACCCCTTTTCCACCCATCAACCCACCTTAGTAACCAATTTGAGCGCGTGTTCGACCTCGGGAAACGTCATCTCATTGCCGGGAATCTCGTAGTTCAATAGGGCACAAGCGTACCTAAAAAGAACAGATTTTAAAGGTAAAACAATGATGATTTACATGATAAATTTTATCAATCAAAGAAAACGACAAACCATTGATCCGTTTGATTGAAGGATTGCTTGCGGCAGTAGCTGATACATCTAAACAAATGACATTAACAAAATAATCAAATCAAAAAGTTTTACGTTTATGAATAAACGTTGTTTCATTAAAAAACCGAGCAAATTTGTGACAAAATTGATCATGTTTTCACAGAAAACCGCAAAAACGTACGGATTTGCTTCTTCCCTTGACAAACAACGAGCATCGACCTCCATTCGATTCGCGTTTTCACTTTCTAGAACAAATATCGATTGAAAATGCTTGAATTGAGTGAATTTTCAAAGTTTTATCACGTCAAAAAACCCTAAACCTTAAAATACCTCTGCAAAGCCACTAATCTAGTCATTGAATGGACGATATTTTGCTTGAAATGCTACCTTTTTTTTGCGCACCTGGGCATTTGCGCACCTTTTTTGCTGGAAAAGGCTTTAGGCAAGGCCGTAGAGCTTCAAAAATGTTTTCATAGAAGGGAATCGTATGCGTAGATTCAGAATTTTGACAAATCAGACCTCGCTGACACGTCAAATTTGGGCTAAAAGGCAAAAACTGCGGAAAAGCGTTAAGTTGCGTAGTTTTTGCCTTTTAGCCCAAATTTGACGTGTCAGCGAGGTCTGATTTGTCAAAATTCTGAATCTACGCATACGATTCCCTTCTATGAAAACATTTTTGAAGCTCTACGGCCTTGCCTAAAGCCTTTTCCAGCAAAAAAAAGGTGCGCAATTGTCCTACCCCCGAAATGCTTCCGTTTCGTTCGCAAAACGTTCAACACAATGATTTTAATGTTGAAATAAAGAAAAACCCACCAAAAAAGCAGAAAATGAATTAGAAAAATGAAATTTCGAGTCTATAAACTGAAAAAAATCTCATTATATAAACAATTTTCAGACAAATATTCAAATTTAGACAATTTTCAGACAATTTCCAGACAAATATTCAAATTAAATACGGTAGTCTTTTCTCAGGGAAATTTTTTTTTTGAAAACAATAGTTTTTATTTTTTTTTCTATTTTTCTTTTTAATTGTTTTTAAAATCCTCTACACAGTTTCTACCACACTTTTTCCTTTAACGATACACAGCTTGGTCCATCTTCTCGACGAAAGATTCCCCCCACGTGTCGTACGTGTGTTGTTTATTCGCTCGGCTTCCTCATTCTTCCCTAAGACACAAAGAAGAGAACGATCAAACATTCATCTTCAACAAATCACAAGCACAAAAATGAGAGAAAGAGACAAAGCTGATTGAGAGATTAAGATCGTAATCTCCTTATAATGAGCTCAATATGCATAGGAAATGCCAAAAATTTCAAGAATTGGCTGATCAAGCATGCGAAACGTGCATTTTTTGACGAAAGATCTAAAAATCTTTCTAAAAAGTCCTAACAACAACTAGAGGACGAGTCTAGGACGAGATTTACAGTACTCTTTATAACTTTAGTAGAATCCTGGGTTAATGTAACATCTGCGAGGGTTACAGTCAGTTTAGTTTCGTCTTTAGGGCGAAGTGTTAACGAAGTACCAATAAGCGTGCGTTTTTTTCCGTTAGATAGCTTGCTCAAAAGCAACTCAGCAGCTCAGGAAAATGCGCTGAATCCGAAAATCGATATGATTTTTTAATCCGTCTTACAGAATTTTCAGTTTAGACTGGAAAATTTTTTTGAATAGTTGTGTGTCACTGTTCAATGTGCTTCAAGAGCTCATCTTCGAGTTTCTCTTGCAAATAACAAAGCTTTATTGTCAAGAAATTCAAGAATTGGTCAACTACAAGAATTTCTATCAAAGTTCAAGTCCCTCTAAAGCCAAATTTCTATAGGAAAATGGTTATTTGTCACTGTTCAATGTGCTTCAAAAGCTCATCATCGAGGTTTTTTGTATCTTTGTCAATTTGAAAGAGAAAGAAACAGTCTTAGAAAATCACCCTCTTCAGAAATTGCTCTAAAATTCGCGCACAAGTTCACGTCCTCTCGATTTCTTTTCCAAAAGCCGGTCAGATGAAAGGTGACGTCCTCCAATCTTCTCTTTTCCCCAACCAAATCCCTCTCATCAAAGGGTATCACATTGTTTGTCGATCGGACTAGAAACGGACTCCTCCTTTGTCTTTTTGTCTTTTCTTTTCCCCTGCCATCTCCTATAAATTCCATCAATCAGTGGCATCTCTGGTTCTTCTCAAATTCTTTTATCAGATTCTCATTGCCATGTTTTTAAAGGAATTTGGTTTCGTTGCTGTTTTCGCATCGCTTTCCTTAACTCAAGCATTCCCATTTGAAGAGGAGACACAGACAGGTAATTGGGGTACGGTAAGGGGTAATGTAAATAGTTATAGAACTGTTGTCTGTAGAAAATTCAGATAGATTACCGTAGTTTAGACAGATCGGAATTCAGACAGATTACCGTAGGCGTAATCTCTACATAGGGCAAATGCAGGGTACGATAGCTAAATGAGAATAGCGGGGGTACTGTAGGAGTACTGTAGAAAGGAAAGCAAATAGAAGTCTGTGATAATTGAATAGTCGGGCAATGCGAAGGTACTGTAAATAAGAAATACAGTAGATGAAACAGTTTACTCTAGCTGTTTAAAGTCCGATTGAAATACTGGCAAAGCTAAAGTATAGCTGTTAAAGTATAGTTCTGTCTGTATTACGGTAGACTACTGTAACTACTCAACTACTGTAACTATTGCTTTTCTAGATGGAGTCGAATCAGATGTCGATACAGTTGATGTAAGCAGTGAATATATTATTTTACGAAAAAGGAAAGGGTTAGTTTTTTTAGACGAAAAGCTGTAGAATTCAGCCCGGGTTACGGTAGCTTAAAGCTACGGTAGCTTACGGTAGCTTACGGTAGCTTACGGTAGCTATGGTAGCTTACAGTAGCTACGGTAGCTCACGGTAGCTACGGTAGCTTACAGTAGCTACGGTAGCTTACAGTAGCTACGGTAGCTTACAGTAGCTACGGTAGCTCACGGTAGCTACGGTAGCTACGGTATCTTACGGTAGCTACGGTATCTTACGGTAGCTACGGTGGCTACGGTAGCTACGGTAGCTACGGTAGCTTACGGTAGCTTAATGTACTGTAAAATAAACAAAATTTCAGCGAGAAAAAGGGCACAATGGATCACTGTGAATATCTGCATCAATTGGGCATTTATACACCAGAATGTGAAGTCAGAGGATTCACCGCGCCAACCGACCCAACCACAACCACCACAACGACAACACCCGGTGAGGAGAAAAGCGCTTTTTAAAGGGTATTGGTAAATCCTTAAACACACCCTGATTGGTGCACTCAATCCTCAACGTACCGACGGAGATTGAGTGCACGAGAAATGGTGTGTTTCCATTCCCAGTACACAAATCAAACACTAGACTATTTCTAGTTACTATTAGCAGTTACTATTAGCAGCACTAGTTCGCTGGGAAGCCGGAGCACTCATTCAGATGACTTAAAACCACCGTAATCCATGTTAAAACCCATGTTAAGCCCTGTTCCTTTTTGAAAATGAACCTAAAAGTCAGATTCCCCATAGCCGAAAACCCCTAAGAGCAAAAGATCGCGCGCAAAAGCTCAATACTTTGGCTTTTAATCGATTGAGCAAACGTAATTACGGAGCGTCGCGTTTTCCGAGCATCGACTAACAGACAGACGTCTCTTCTTTTTTATATATAGTAGATATTTTAGCTCCACCACCGATGTGCACTCGGAAATTCTTTCAAGATCGTTGCCGTTTCCATCCACAATGCGGTCAAAGTGGAATGGTGAGTAAAATAGGCACTAAAATTGAAATTTAGATTACTTCTACATTAAATTAGTACGATCAATTACTGTAAAAGAGTCATAAATCTATGATAAAACTAGTAATGGAAGAAGAATCTGAAACCGAGGAGAGAATTGAACCGTTGACTTTCTGCTTATCAAGCAAGGGAGATTGAGCATTTCAAGTACTGTAGATAGACGTTTACATTACAGCAGCGGATCAAAATCGTTTGACCTGTTCGGACCATTCTCTTGAGAGATTTTCTTGCGATTGAACTTTCGATCTTTGATCTTTGAGTCAAGACTGTTAACCAATCACCCAAAATCCTTGAACACCTCACAGCAAATGACGGTTTTAAAAGGCAAATTGAGCATTTCAAGTACTGTACTTGATTCTAAAAACCGTACAGCCACACTAGCAACTTGTAAACATGTTTTTGGATTATCCATGTTTTTGGATTATCGTTATCCACCTAATCAAAATCGTTGATGTGTAGAAAGTCTGCGAAATGCTTTCCCACTGATCGATCGGCTTGTTCTTTACCCAAAAAAAAGAAATAGAAAAGAAAAGAAAAGAAAGAAGAAAACCAATGAATCTTTAATTTATTTTTTTAGATGTGTCGTGATGTGGCGAATAATCTGTGCTGTAAGCCAAGTGACGATGTTTGTCCGACACAAGAGCAATTGGGAATCATTTGCAGTAAAGTGGCCAGATTGGTGAGTTTCGGGAATGCGGATAAGTTACCGTAATCCGCAAGTCATTTACCAAGATTACTGTGCCTCTAAACAAATCTTTAGTCTTTAAAAAAAGATCTTTAAATGATGATCCGATCGTAAACGGCAGCCCAATTGCTCTTATTTACTGTAACCCGATTGTTTTTTATGAGTTTTCATAAAAACCATCATACTTTAAGCTTATAACTGACTTTAAGCCGTACTTTAACCCTAATTACTGTACTTCAACCCGAATTACCGTACTTTAAGAGGGGCTACCGTACTTTAAGACGGGTTACAGTAGCCAGAGCATACTTTAAGTCGTACTTTAACCCTAATTACCGTACTTTAAGACGGGTTACAGTAGCTAGAGCATACTTTAGCCCTAACTACCGTACTTTAAGACGGGTTACAGTAGCCAGAGCATACTTTAGCTCTGATTACCGTATTTTAAGACGGCTTCCAGTAGCTAGAGCATACTTTAGCCCTAATTACCGTACTTTAAGACGGCTTCCAGTAGCTAGAGCATACTTTAAACTTGTCAAAATCTTCCCCTTCTTCAGGTTTCCTGGTGCTCAACCGACTCTCATTGTACTCGGGGCACAAAATGTTGCCCATCCGGTTGTGGATATAATATTTGTGTTTAGAAAAAGAAGAATCTTATTTATTAGATAAATATTTATTGAACAACAATTCAAATAAGCGATCGCAACAGCTCGACTCTTGAATAGACACGATGCGGGCAAGGACAGTACTCCGAATCCTCGCCTGAATATATTGTGAATTAACAAGGGAAATATCACAGATCGCTGATCACCAGATGCTCAAGGAGAAGTTATAAAAATGATTCAGATGATCAAAATAACGAAAAAATTAACTGCTCATACTCATAAAAGCGAGATATTTTTAATAAAAGCTTTAAAAGTTTTCAACATCTCAGTTAAAAGGCTTTTCTCGCGGCAGGTCAGCATGGGTTGATGGTTTAGTGGATAAGGTGCTTGGATTCAAAACGATTGATCTATGTCCTGCTCGGGTTCGATTCCTCTCCTTGGGAATTACTTTGTTTTTTAACTTTGTTTCTTTTCATTTTCCTTTCTATAGAATATTTTGTTTCTTTTCATTTCCCTTTCTTTTCTATAGAATAGAAGAAATCGGTGGGTCAGCCTTGTAGCCAAGCCAGCCTTGTAGCCAAGCCAGCCTTGTAGCCAAGCCAGCCTTGTAGCCAAGCCAGCCTTGTAGCCAAGCCAGCCTTGTAGCCAAGCCAGCCTTGTAGCCAAGCCAGCCTTGTAGCCAAGCCAGCCTTGTAGCCAAGCCAGCCTTGTAGCCAAGCCAGCCTTGTAGCCAAGCCAGCCTTGTAGCCAAGCCAGCCTTGTAGCCAAGCCAGCCTTGTAGCCAAGCCAGCCTTGTAGCCAAGCCAGCCTTGTAGCCAAGCCAGCCTTGTAGCCAAGCCAGCCTTGTAGCCAAGCCAGCCTTGTAGCCAAGCCAGCCTTGTAGCCAAGCCAGCCTTGTAGCCAAGCTAGTCTCGCGTCAGGCTAGGTTACACCGGGAAAATCGTTTTTAAAACATTATTCGTCTTGGGCTCATTTACCCAATCATGGTTTTATAAGTGCTGAGCTGAAAGACGAATTTTTCATTTCCCTTTTTCATTTCCCTTTCTTTCAATAAATAAAGTTAATCGAAAATACGATTTAAGACTTTGTTTACTTATTTTACTTACTCAAATTTCTATTTATATTCTTAAGGAAAGATTTTAATGTTACAAGAGAAAAGAAATTGAATTCAGTCATTCAAAAAAGTTAGTTACAACCTGTACGCAAACAATTTCAGAATCTGGATTACTTCCTTTGTAAATACAGTACGCGAAAATCATAAACGGCTTCTTGGTATCTACAATGTGTTTGCAATACCTTTCCTGCACTACAGTATCCTTCTACAGTACTCCTTTTTGATGCTCATCTTCTACAACTCACCGGGCTCTCCCTCTTCTCCTTTTTCTCCTTGTTGTCCATCCAAACCGGGCTTCCCTCGGGGCCCCATCTCTCCCTGTTCACCCTCTTCACCTAAAAGGGAGAACTTGATATTTTGGACTTTTTCCGGTGCCCGTAAAGAAAAAGTGAAAAAACGAGTGCGCCAAAGTCGTTTACAAGATATTGAATGTTTCTGACTTGCTCTTCACCACCAGCAAAGCCTTTGCACCCCATCATTCACCCACCCCGCACTCCCTCTCGTCCATCTCCTCCCTGTTCTCCTTGTTCTCCTTGCATTCCCGGTTTTCCTTGCAAGCCTTTTTCTCCTCTCAATCCCACACCGGCCGTTCCATCAATTCCCGCATTTCCCGGTTCACCGATCTGACCATCTGGCCCGTCTGGCCCGTCCGGACCCGAGATTCCTAGATTTATTTAGTGATTAGATCAGATATCAGTGGAAATCACAGTTTATCATTACTCTACAGGGAGCGTCATAATTATTGCAACAAGATACTCAAGGCATTGCACACCAAGAAGTTTCACTGGAAGAAGATTTTTAAACAGAAATAGCTTTATTTAACAGTAACAAATAAGGAAACAAGAGATCATTCGATATGACCGCCTTTTACCTTGATAACAGCCCTTAATCGGTTCGAATATGCCTCCACTGCGGCCGAATGTCATCTTGAGGACTTCAAAGACTTCTTCAAAGAATCCAAACCTGTGTGTTTTCAAGAGCAGACATTAGCCTCTAAGATTGCCCAAATGGAAAAGTCCATCACATTGAGATCCGGTGAGTTTGGAGGCCATGCATCCTTGGTGATCACTGAGGGAAAGTTGGCCACACACCAGTCCTGAACCGTCTTCTTCGTGTGAGCTGGAGGCAATTAGGCAAGAATAAAGAAGATAGAACGCAACACAACAAAAATGGGGGCAAAAAAATAAGAAAGCTGTTTGGAAAACGGTCTTTGAACTCTTGTTGCAATAATTATGACGCACCCTGTAGTGTTACCAAGAAAATGTTTTCTTCAAAATCACAGTTTATCATTACTCTACAGTACTCTAAAGTAAAAGTATAATATCAGCTTGTCAAAACTCATATTTCTTCTGAACAAAAACAAACCCGGTGTCCCGGGGGCTCCATTTCTGCCTGGAAGTCCGGAAGTACCCATCGCTCCACGCAAACCACGAATGCCTAGAAGTTGGCTTGCTTATTGATCTAGAAATCATGAATAAACTACCGTAATCCATAATCCGTAACCTATTCTGCACTAACTTTAATGGATAAGCTCTATAGAAATATAGAAAGATAGAAAGATAGAAACCTTTCTTCCCTGGCAAACCGGGTCGCCCAGTTGGACCCGGCGGACAAATTGTACACCCACTCAGGATTGGCATCTGAAAATTCCCTCAAAAGAAAATGATATTGGTGACTGTAACCTCAGCCTGCACATCATCAGCATCATTGCCCGGCTGTCCTTGCCTTCCATTCTCTCCATCACTTCCATCAGTGCCCCGATCACCTGGAGGACCCGGCGCACCACGGGGACACTCTTCAGCGCGTTTCATTACTGAAATTTGAATGATTTTTGAATTGACGAAGAGTATTTCGATGTGGAAACTGACGAACGTCATTTCTAATTTTAAAATCTAACAATAAGATGATAAATTTCTTTGCATAAGAGCTCATTGCTCATTACCGCATCTCGGTCTTTCTCCATAACTTGGCGGAGTGGTCGATGAGTAGAATGGACGACGAGAGGGAACTGGGCCACGAGTTGGGCCGATCGGGTTGAATTCATAGCTGCTGAAAAGGGTTATGAGACATTTGAGCCTTTTGATTTGATCGTTCAGCCCCTTTTCCCATTAGCAATCGAACTTTAAGCTCAAATTTCTTGGTGTTGGGTTGTTCAATTGCTAAATTTTAAAAATCATTAGATGCGTCAAGTCTTTCTCTGTTGATTGGTATAAAAACTATTGAAATTGAATCGCCCAACACCAAGAAATTTGAGTTTAAAGTTGAATTGCTAATGGAAAAAGGGGCGGGGCGCGTATAAAAGGTTCGACAATCGATGAAAAGAGTTTTATTACCGTAAATACTGTAATAGTACCCCACCCCCATAATGACGGCGCGGAGCGTTGCGTAGTCTAGCTTTGAACGAGTTTTTCTTGACACTGGTTTATGCTACAATGCGCGCTTAGGTATCAAAAAATAGCCCTGGATTTCAGCTATTTTTTGATACCAAAGACGCATTTTTTGAAAGTACGGGTGCTTTGAAAAAAATGAAATACTAAAAAACTCTTGCGACTACGCGACTGTACTATTACAGTACGCGGTGGGGTACTATTACAGTATTTACGGTATGTATATTTGATACGAATTTGTAGAGCTTGGTAAATTTAAAATCAATTTTGCTAATCTCCTTTCGATATTTTGCATCCGATTAAGAATTTATTGAATCAATTGTGTAAGGTGAAAGGCGAAAGGTGAAATGATACTCATCTTGTATACCGTATTTTCTCTAATAGTAGTGCACCGTCAGCCTTGCCTAAATTGCTCGAAATCTCGAGAACCACTTATCAGAAACTATCGATGTGCGATCGGAAAATGTAGCTTACGATGAGATCTTGAGGGGGATTTGAGTGTTGAGCTTTGGCAAAAGCTTTAAGTTTAAGATGTTTTCGAACAATTCAACGCACCGACGGTTCAATGATTCTCATCTTAGCACGCTTGATTGAACGATTGCGCTTGATCTTTTCGCGGGCCCTCTTGATATTAGCTTTGATGGTAACGGTTCTTTTGTTTCCTTATCCAGGGCGTTAAATTTTCAAGCTCCTTGTATCGTTTAACTGCGCGAATCACAACACTTCTATCGACTCCTAGACGTCAATCTCACGTGTCCTTTAGCCTTTGGCGTGATCGAAGTGATCACCGCAAGTCGATGATCGAAGCTCTGTAAAGATTACACTTTGTCATCACTAAATGTCAATGTCACTAAAAGTTTTTTTTTTCGGCGTAAACATACAGAGCAAATATTAGAATAAAGAAAAGAAAAAATAAACAAAAAACAAAAATTTCGAAGAATTTTCCTTGAAAAACAGCTACCGTATTTTCTCTAATAGTAGTGCACCGTCAGCCTTCCCTAAATTGCTCGAAATCTCGAGAACCACTTATCAGAACCTATCGATGTGGAGTCGGAAAATGTAGCTGACGACGAGATCTAGTGGGGGGATTTGAGTGTTGAGCTTCTGCAAAAGCTTGGAAACCGTAAAATAGTCACCAACTCGGCTCGCCAAGGTGCACTACTATTAGAGAAAATGCGGTATTTTGAATAGTTATCTTGTTAAAATAACCAGCACGAGCACAGCAGAAAAATGCAAAAAGCATGAAAAAAGAATGAAAAAAAGAATGAAAAAAGAAGAAAACGAAATTTCGCGCAAACTAGGAGGGGTACGGTAGTTTTACCTCGCTTTAAAGCGCCAACCCAGGGTTTTTTCGTAAAAAGGTCGCAAGTGATAATCAAAAAATTCTTTAGAGATCAGACTGTACCCCATCAGACTGTATTTCCATTTAACCGTTGGCGCTTAAATGCCACGAAGCGGCTACATCTGGGAACTTTAGCTCGGGTGGGTGGGGCATTATTTTTTCCCATTTAACGCAACGGAGTTGGGGTGGGACAGATTTGCATTAAGCATTGAGCATTTTTACACAATTGATTTGATAAATCGATATCGTTATCATTATCGAAAGTAACCTATACAAAAGCAGATCAGTATTAAAAAATCAGTCTGAAGCCTGGCCTGGACTGGATATGATTTATAGCTTTGACATCAAATCTGCCTAGCCAAACCGGGCTTACACATTTCTGCATAGTAATCTATTAGTTTTAACTAAAAGAAGGGTTTGGTAGAAGCAAATATTTCTTATTCCAAGCAGATACAACTTATCAAAAAGTTAAAACTAACAGATTACTAAAACTAACAGATTACTCTTCCCCATTCAGTACTCTTATAATACTTCTCTATACTGGATCTCTTTTGTTCATCCTTTTTACTCACCTCGGATTTGCGAATTGCAATCGCTGTGGAGTGGGGAAGCTGAAAATTCATTGAACTATCAACTTTTCAACAGTACAAAACCTCTGAATGCTTCTCAACCTTTGATTCTTTGGTGCATCGGCATCAGTTAATGGAATTGGAGTGGTTGAAGGGGAACTAAAAATATCATAAGATTTGTTTTCATCAAAATAAGATTATCAAAAAGGTTTCAAGTCAGATTTTTGTCCATTTCCTACTCTACAAACCGATTTTTCGTTGTTGGTGTGCGTTTGGTCAATGCTGAGGTCAAAGCCTTTGATGGAGTTGAGCTAAAAGAGCTTTTTTATGGATAAGTAAACTTGATTGATCAAAATTTGATATTCAAAAAGATATTAAATCTTTTCTTAGCAAAACAAACCCTTTCGTCGTTTTTGGTTTCTGAGTTTTCCCCTTTGTTGTGCTCCTTTCAGTCGTTGTTTTGATAGAATTGGAAATCGTTCTCAAATGCAGCTTCTAAACAGCTTTTTCTAAAGTCTATGCCTTAACTTGATGACTTTAAAAGAATCTATTCAATTCAAGATTCAAGAAGAATTCCTTTAAAGTCAAGACTTCTTTCAAACCTTTGGCGTAATCATTTTTTGTGTCATTTGTGGCAAAATCGTGGTCAACTTTGTGGTCAACTTTGTGGTGATCGTCGTGAGAATTGACGGGGATGTTGTCGAGGCGTTCTGAAGACTATTTTATATTTTTTTAATATTTATATCTATAATTTCTAGCTTACAATAGGTTTAAATTATGTTTTATCATTGTGCATTTCCATATGAAATCAATCTATCAATCAATCAATCAATTAATCAATCAATTAATCAATCAATTAATCAATCAATTAATCAATCAATTAATCAATCAATTAATCAATCAATTAATCAATCAATTAATCAATCAATTAATCAATCAATTAATCAATCAATTAATCAATCAATTAATCAATCAATTAATCAATCAATTAATCAATCAATCCCCACCTCATCTTCGTACTCGATTTCACCCGTATCGAGATCATCGGAATCGATATTTCGCTCGTCTTCGTAGCTGATAAAACCCTGAAACCGTGCACAAGATTCTTTGAGTAAAGTAGAATGTGTGCATAAAGCACTTTAAAGCTTACTGTACTTGTCAATCTTATTGTATTCACAGACGGACGGACAGACACTGCTCTTTTATAATGGTGAAAGAGCTGAAAAGATAAATTAGCGTCTAAATTAGGCTCTCGTCTAAATCTCTAAAATTGAACTACCCTGTCTCACCTGTTCTTGATATTCATCACTCAACGAGTCGTCCTCAGTTGACGGCTAAAATTTAGGGTTATCGTAAAGTATCGTAAGTATTGTCATCTACCTTTTCTTGGGTTTTCGATGCGAAAACGATCGGTTTAGCTGGATATCCGTGATAACTTTGAAAGACTGAGCGAGCGATCTGAAAATGAAATCATTGAGTGTTTGTTGATATGAAATTCTATGGGCTTTCAATTCAAATAGTTATCGATTCAAGAATGATTTCACTTGTCTTTGTCGCCTCGTTTTCACTTCACCGCTATTCTCGAAGCCTTTGATCTCAGCGATTATCGACGCAATTTGAGCCGATTTTTTCTAAACAATCAATTTTGATCTATTGCAAATATTACAGTAATCTTTTTGTTTCACTTAATGGCTTAGTTATTGTAAGTTATTGTAAGTTATTGTAAAGTTTCTGTATACTAGAGAAAAGAGACCGGGGCATACCGGCGCGAAAATGCGTTTTCTATAGGATTTTTCTGGGAGTACCTTTTTTAGATGCGGAAAATTGTGCTGATTCCGAATCTGAAGGAATTTTTAGTTTACTTTTTTTAGAGTTGAGCAAATTTGATGATTTTTGTATCAAAATGTTCGTAAGAGTCTCTAGAATAAAACTTATCCCTTTGTTTTTTTGTTCTAAACCCTGATTGTCGAGTTACGAGCCCCAAACCGCAGGCTACCACAAAATTTCCCATACAAAATCACCAAAAAACCGCTAAAACTAAATTTTTAAAATTTCTGTCAGAGGGATTTGAAAAATTCCTTCAGATTCGGAATCAGCACAACTTTCCGCATCTAAAAAAGGTACTCCCAGAAAAATCCTATAGAAAACGCATTTTTGCATTATTTCGCGCCGATATGTGGGGGCTCAATATTGCGTTTTTCTAATTGACACTCAAACTACCGTATCAGCTATCCCACATGAATACTATGCAAATAAAGGATTACGATAGCTTTTAATGTTTATAGCTTCAAAATACCGTATCTCACTTGAATATTGTGCATTTCCGTATGCAAATTCTCCTCCAAAAATAAACATTCCTCGAAAACGGTCGAGAAGAGAAAAACACAAATCGAAATGCACAAAAGAGAACCAATTGACGCACAAATGTTCAACTTTTCAATGGAATTCATAGCTCAATCTATTCTGCTTTGATGAATTTTGAGGGATCTTCCCGTTCCGTGACCCAAAAAATTTCCCTATCTATCTCGACCATCTTTCTCGACCATCTCTCCCTTCTGGAAATCGACCTTTTAACGAAAAATCCAGGATTTTGAAGTGAATTTTGAAAAATCTGGAGAACACTGCATAAAACTAGCTGAAAAATTGAATGTTTTCGATAAGTTACCGTACCGTATCGATAAGTTACTTGATGTACTCATGGTGCTTTAAAACAGCTATACAGCAAAGATTTATTTTTTTCTACAGCTGCTGTGACATCCAGCTTGGGCAATCAACTTTAAAAAAAGTTCATTTTGATGGGAATGGGACAAATGCGACCTTTTTTTGCGCACCCGGACATTTGCGCACCTTTTTTTCCGCACCTTGCCCATTAGCGCACCTTTTTTCGCGTTTTAAAAAAGCTCTAAAAAGCTAATATTAACCAATTTCTATTCCAAATGTTGTTTTTCTAGGTAATTTTAGGGCGTAGAATCGAAATTTTGACATATCAGAGCTTGTGGAAACAAACGGACGGAGTTATACAAAGAGTCAAAAAAAAGGTCGCATTTGTCCCACCCCCTAAAAGCCAATTAACCAATTTCTATTCCAAAAGTTGTTTTTCTAGGTAATTTGAGGGTGTTGAATTCAAATTTTGACATAACAGAGCGTGTGGAACCAATTTGAAAGACAAAATGGCTAGATCAAATTACAGAAAATTGTCGATTTTTCTTTTTGTATAACTCCGTCCGTTTGTTTCCACAAGCTCTGATATGTAAAAATTTCGATTCTACGCCCTAAAATTACCTAGAAAAACAACATTTGAAATAGAAATTGGTTAATATTAGAGCTTTTAGAGCTTTTTTAAAACGCGAAAAAAGGCGCGCTAATGGGCAAGGTGCGGAAATAAAGGTGCGCAAATGTCCGGGTGCGCAAAAAAAAGGGTCGCATTTGTCCCACTCCCCATTTTGATAGATTTTTTAAAGGTTTTCTAGTCAGGGTAACGTTTCCATTGTTGTCAAAAGAGTAAGCAACGCGGTGATTCAAATGACGCTCTATCTCTAAAAGGTATTCAACTAGCTGATCAAATAACTTTTGTTTGAAACAGCGTATATTAATCAGCTTGTCCTGAGACAAATTTAATTTGTTAGCATTTTTTTTGCTTTTTATTTATAAATTCTATGTTTTCGTTATCTGATTGATTTTTTCTCATTTTTATCAAGTTTGCATTTTCCAGGGTCAAGCTCGCCTCTCTTCGATAAACACCGCCAAAAATGACGCAAGCTCAGATGCAACTGGTTGCCGATTTGGAGGTAAAATTTTCAAGTTTAGGTTTAAGCGTTAGATTTTTATAATTCTTTCCCATGATCATGCAATGTTGTGCAATTTTAGATCGAAATGATGTCGGATATGTACAGAAGAATGACCGATGCTTGTCAGGAGAAGTGCATAAGTCGCAATTTTAAGGTCAGTTGAATAATTTTATTAGCTCAAATAGATACCTGGGATAGATGCTGCCAATTTGACAAACAAAAAATCAACCATAATCAAATTTTCACACAAAATTGTAGTTTTTGGCATCGTTACCTACCCGTTTTGTGTTTTGCTTTAAGAATTGGCCAGAGCAGCTGCAATTTGGATAGTTTTACCCCATTTTTTAGTATTCACACCTCTTTTAACAATTTTACTTCAGGAAGGCGATCTGACAAAGGGTGAATCGGTTTGTCTGGACCGGTGTGTGGCCAAATATTTGGATGTTCACGAGAAATTGGGCAAACGGCTCACATCAATGTCACAACAGGATGAACAGGTGAATGTTTGAGCGATGTGTGGCAATGAAAAGTTCAGAAAAGAGCTATAGATTAGTTTTGCTCGAAAAAGCTACATAATCAACTTGCGAGCATTTTTTTGGTACGGATTGGTTAGAAAATAGCCAAGGCTGGCTTAAAGCAAAAAAAAAAACCTTAAAAAGCTAAAAGGGAAACAAAGCCAGATGGTGGATAAGTATTTAATATTTGATCGTTTTTCTTATTATCTAGTCACCTAAATCTCTTCATTTAGGTGTTGCAAAAGGCGTCGGCTGTGCAGAGTGGATCGTAAAATGAAAAAGGAATTGGATACCGAAAATCTCACATTTTCCTGCTCATTTGATCTTTTTGTGTTGTTCTTCCTTTTCATTTGCGTTGTTGCTCGTTTTTCTTCTGTTTTCCTAGTTTTGATTTAGATTTAGTTTTAGATTGAGAGCAAAATTTTGTTAAATGAATTGTTTTTCAGATAAATCTTCTGTGAAAGCGGGTGTGTTATTTCTTTTCGAGAAAAGGACCGGCAGAGAAAATGGCGGTCGGTTTTAAAGGAAAATTTAAGAAATTATCTTTTTAAGGTCTAAATAGCTAAATTTTGGTTTTTAAAAATGAAATTACGCTGAAATTTTAATGTGTTTTCTTTAAGTTAACCTTAAGTTTAAGGCTAGATAAGAGTTTTTTGAAAAATTATGTATCTAATGTATTTTCTTTTGTTTAGTCCGATGAACCACCGTTCCTCAAGGTCGGCACCGAGGTCTCCGCGAAATTCAAGGGAGCTTTCTGCGAAGCGAAAGTGAAACGGATATTCAAGAACATCAAGTTTCGGGTGAGTGAGCTTTGCTTGGTTGATCAAAAAAAATTATCAGGCAAGAAGTCAGAAAAAAGCTAGCAAAAACCAAACTGCTAAGTTTAGGTCAAAAATAAAAAAATTTACTTGTCCAGAGCGGGCTTTGAGGAGCTTTTAGGCATGAGGGCGTGTTTGGTGCTGTTAAAATGTATTTTCCAAAAAAAGTTTTACTATGCCAGTTCTATCCTGTCTTCTAGCTAGATTTTTAAAGATAAAAGTTAAGCATGGATTGTAAAACTTGATATGACAAGTTTTCCAGCATAAAGAATCCTGTCTTCTGCCTCAGAAGCCTTATCAGCGTAAATGCCTTCAATATAAAGAACAAAGCCTTTGGTAATACGTTTGTCATATCAAAGTTTTGACACGGTCAACTGACAATGAGCTAAAAAGCAAACAAATAAGCCATATTTTACATCTTTATTTTCAGGTTGTGCCCAAGGAGGGCTCAACGGGGACACTCGTCGTCGAAGAGAGCCATTTGAAGGGTGATCCCATCTACGAAGTGAATCAAATTGTCGATGTGAGATTATTTGTTTTTTTAACAAATTATTTCATTTTTCTAGGTCCAACACGGCGGCAAGTACATCAAGGCCCAGATCTTGCACATCAAAGACTACAGCACCTACGATGTTGGTGAGTGGTTTTTTTAGATAAAAGAAAAGTTTTTTGATTCAAGATCTAAAGAAATGGGTTGGACTAAATTAAGCGCTAAAATTTCCATTACATGTTTTCTTTTAGTATTCGACGACGGTGACGAGAAACGACTGAAACGAACGCAAATGGTGCTGAAGGGAGCAAAGCATTACAATGAGGAGCATTCGCTAGACGCTCTTCCTCTCTACAACCCTGAGCAGTTCAGCTCGCCGGTCGTCGCGAAAATCATCAGGAAGAACAAAATGGACAAGTGGGGGGAATTTTGTAATCACTTCAATAAACTTCAATATTTAGACGAGATCGCGAGGCTCGCCAAGGCGCCGGGACACCAAAAAAGGAGCGAGTCATCGTGCAGCATGATGTGAACAGTGATGACGAGAAACCATCATCTTCTTCAGCAACCACGTCAAGGGGTAATAGATGGTTCTGTTTTTATACCTGACAGATGTTAGGTTGAAAGGCCTTGTTTTTGATCTAAAGTCTTGAATAGGCTAATAATCTTGATAAAATCTAAAAACAGTCGAATTGTCAAAGTAAACGTTTTTTTTTTGTGACAGGCACGGCTTATCCTAATTCAACAATGCAACAAAACAATTGAAATTGCATGAAAGCAGAAAATTCTTCATTTTTTTCAGGAAATCGCATGACAACAAGAGGTTGTTCAACAGCAAAAAAATGTCTTAATTTTTGTGTGTTTGCACTAGAAAACGATAGTTATTGTTGGTAGTGGCTAATCATTCGTTGATTCTGGTGATGGAGTTCAAAAAGATTAAAAAAATGATCATGGCCAAGAAAAATTGTATTTTGAACGTTAAACTTCAAAACTTTGAACTCCATTCCAGCTAATCGCTTTTCCCACAAAATCTAACGCTTTTTTGATCGGGTTTTCTCTTTTTTTCTCTTGGTGATTTCCCCCTCCTGTTTTTTTGATAGAAAGCTGGGAAGAAGCATTTTTTGAAAAACAAAGCGGAATTCGAAATTTCTTCCTAGATTTTAGAGAATCAATCTCATTTATGGGCTAATTATGAAATTTTAGGCAAAGTCGCCGCGAAGAATGAAACGAAAAAGACTACCAATGATGGGGATGAGGATGGGCGGAGAACGATAAAAAGTGAGTGTTGGGAAGATTAAGATGAAGGCTGATCCTTGGAATAAGTACACAAGAGGACAGCAAAAAGCAGACTTGTCTAATGAGCATTCGTCATGTGGTAATCTCTTTCTTTTAGAAACTGTTCGTCAAAAGCGAGCCGCCGCTCACGCTGCTTCAGCCGCACTGGCCGATCAACATGGTGGATTATCTCCGTCGGATGAAGAAAATAATGAAGATGACGAGGATGATGAGGATGAGAATAATACGAGTGATGAGACCGGCGACGAATCACATAGTGACAATGAGATGTGAGTGGGGAAAAGCTGTAGTTTGTTATCTAAACAAGAATTGAGGTTAGGGCTGGACCAAGGTTCTTATTAAAGCTTTAGAAGTAAAGCAAGATGCAAATTGGCCTAGTAACATTGTCTATTTTCAGAAAAGAAGCAACTCCTGAGAAATCTCCGACAAAATCCCTCCGTGACAAGGATAAAGAAAAAGACAAAGAACCCAAGAAGAAAACGACGAAATTTGTGAGCAAAATATTTAAAATGCCAAGTTTAACATGTTATCTAGGCTCCTGGCAATGTTGTAATGGTTTACGGGGATTCGAAAAAGACGGGAACTTGCTCGTTGGCTGTTGTCATCAATCCAAAGGTTGATTTATTTTATGTAACAACTTTCAATTGTTGTTTTAGATTTACAAAGCGTTGAAAGGGATGAAACCGTTGACGGGAAACGACATCCCGTTGAGGGGATTCATGTTGGAGGGACGATAGTGAGTGGTTTTAAAGAAAAACCAGACTTAAAGTTAAATTAGGCCAAGATTTTTTGTCGACAAGGGCTTGCTAACTAAATCTTCCAGAGCTATGAAAGCTTTGCTAAGATTAGCCTAGCTGAGCAAGTTTTGGCTTCTTTGGTGAAAAACAACGTTGTTTCGACTCTTAACAATTTTCTTTAGTTTCTCGGTGTCACCCCTTGTTCTAAAGCCATTCACCGCGAAACCGTTGGCCGGATTCGAGAAAGAACCGCACAAGACAGCCTACAATCGAGCAAAGGATTTCTTGGAATGCATGTTTTAACACAGTTTCTAATTGGACTCGATTTTAGCAAAAGGAAAGACTTTACCGTCATCGTGGAATCTCAAAGAACACATCTTGGCTGAGTCGACAATGAAGAAGAAAAAGGACAAAGAGAAGGAGAAAGAAAGGGAGAAAGACAAGGATAAGGACAAAGAGTGGGTTTAATTGGAGGCTATCTAACCTTTGAAGGTTTACAACTAGATCCTTACAAATTAAACACGTTCAACCTATCAACTACGGTTCGGCGTAAAAATATAACTATAGAATGAGTACACTTACCTTTAAAGTTAACTATTCTCGTTTTGAAGGAGCAATCTAACAATTTTATTCATTTTAAAGCTCAAATTCTAGTGCCACTTCCGACAGCGATTCGGAGGATTCGGAGGAAACGACTGACGATGAAACGGATAAAGAATTCGCTCAAGCTCGTGACGCTTTTGTCGCCCATTTCTACAAGTTCCAAGAAGAGAATGGTCTGTTTAAAAGTTTTACCTTTACATTTCATTTTTAGCCACTCCCATCAACAAACAGCCGGTGCTTGGTGGGAAACCGCTCGACATCTACAAATTCTATCGGGTTTGTGGAGAGATTTCATTCGATTTTGTTTTGAAAAATCTTTATTACACGAAAACCTTTATTACATTTTCTTTTCTCCTCTCGAACGCACAAAATAACAATTTGTACACATTGCAAAAAGGAATTTGTTTATCGGGTAGCAGAATCATGAAGCCCGCTGAAGCGTGAAGTCAAATTTTAGAAAAATGAACGGGAAATTAATAAATTCTCTACTAAATGCGGTGTTACCAACTCTCGAAGGTTCCAAGCTTTTCGCTCCAACACCATACTCAAAATGATCTACAATGAAGTCTCTCCACCGCCCGTGCTGATCCACGAGAAGTGGCCATACCGGGTGGGATTCCCATCTTGACAACCCGAGAATACCTCTAGATTTCATAAAACTGGCATACCTGAGTGTTCGGCAGAGACGGTTCGGTGGTGGAACGCAACAAAGTCGATTGGGAGGGCTCCCCGAGGACCAAAGAAGCAAACGCGTCTTCACCGGCGGCTTTTGAGTGGGGAAATCTAGACAAAAACTTTGTATGTTTTGTATTGTAATCGGTAGCGATTAAGTCTATCTATCCCTCCAAATCTCTTTTGTATCAACGAAGCTACTTCATTTTTGATCCCCCGATCGTCATAGTCTAATTCACGGCTCATTGCATCTGCATCTGTATTTTCCTCTCTCGGGATTTTTGCGATCGTGCTAGATTCTTGCCGTTCAATTTGGGAAAGATTACGGGCCGCTCTGAGAGGTCTCCCGGGACGATTCAAGAGTGAACCTAATGCAAGCCTCGGCACATCCTTAAGTAAACTAAATTCGCCAGAGACTCACCGACGCCACAATAGACTTCTGAACCGGTCCCAAAAGACGTCGTGCGCAATTGTTTCATTCCGTGCATTTTTCTTCAGACGCCGTCACCTTCTTGTCCGGCGCCACATCATTCGTCTCCAATTCCACCACTCTCTGTGCCGTAAAGTGCATAGATCGAGCCGCATCTAGGACAATCAAATGCATTGAAACAATAGAATCCAAAAATCTTTGACGATCTGACCGTGAAGAATCAATATTTTTCCACGAAAACTTGCACACAGCGGGTTTTTGACTATGCTGAATCGATTAGTAATACTTACTTATAACTTTTTTTTATTAATTTTATTAATAAATAACATTTTTAGTAAAAACTCGAATACGGGCAATTTGCCGAAAAACAGGTCCCCTAACCTGTCAGGGAGCTTTTTTATACGCAACACCAAGCAACAGTTTTGTTACTACTATTTCTTGTTATCCGATGTTGTTAAAATAAAACATAAAATTAATAAAAAAAGTTATAAAAGTATTACTAATCAATTCAGCATAGTCAAAAATCTCTATGTGCAAGTTTTCGTGGAAAAATATTGATTTTGGGTTAATTCCCCCCCCAACTACTCGAACCCCTACCTTTTTTACAACGTGCACAAAACCATTTTGTATCTTTAGGTTGTTCATCGTCTTGGCGGATGGAAGCAAGTCTGCGCGAAGGGAAAATGGAAAAAAGTAACTTTATTAGTGCATTTGAATGTTTAAATCTTCTTTACAGGCCCTAATGCGGATGAAGCTAGAGGGATGTCCGGGTGCCACGCCAGCCACCGTGAAAAACGCCTATAGTCGGTGGGTTTGGATTATAGGGGGCAGATTTTTTGCAACTTAAGCAGCTTAGATAGTCAACAAATTTACAAATTTTTGCGATTCTCATCAAAATTGCTTAAATATCTTGCTGATGAGCCTTTACCTTAAGATAGTAAAACTCTGCTGAAACATTTATAGCAGCAGCCATTCAAAGCATTTACCGTATTCTCTCTAATAGTAGTGCGCACTACTATTTTTTCAACCCCCTCCTGGACCGCAATACTATTAGAGAGTGCACGACTATTAAAGAGTTTTATCATTTACCAAAGTAAGACAGACATAAGATTTGTTCCAAAAATTCTTTCAATTCTTTCACGCACTCCTTTGGCTGCTTTTGACATACAGTTGTGGGCCGGCGAGTTGACAATTTGTGTCTTGACAAACAACAAAAAGATGTTTTTGCACTTTGCACAACAATTTTAGATTTTTTGCTAACTTTTTCATGTGAAGAATAGTTAATAAATGAATAAAAAAGCCTCACTTTTGCTTGCTTGAATAGCTTTAAAATGTCACGTAAACATAAAGTCAAAAAGGTTTAGATGAAAAAGAAGCACCAGAAATTCAAATTTTCGAGGGTGCACTACTATTTTTTCAACCCCCTCTCGGACCGCAATACTATTAGAGAGTGCACTACTATTAGAGAGAATACGGTAGGTTATATTCTGCCCCTTTTCAGGTACCTTCTCTTGTTCAGTCAACAGTACACTCGTTTGGGCTGGTCTTTGAGTGAATTGACGATGCCGGCTGGAAGAAGACAAGGACGATTACTGTTACGACAAATGGACAAAGATAAGGAAAAAGAGAAGGAGAAGATGGAGAAAGGAGAAAAGGACAAGGATAAGGATAAGGTGAAGATTGAAAATTTAGATGGAAATTTAAGTGAGATCAACATAAATGAATTTAATTTGTAGACAAAGTCCCGAAAGATGTCCGTGGATGATGAGAAGAAAGAAAAAAATGATGATCGATCTGAGAAAGAAATGAGTGAATCGTCGACAAAACTGGAGAAAATCGAGGAGAAACCAGAGATCGCGCAGCAACACCAACAACAACAACAACAACAATCGAACAAGATTGTGAAGAAGTTGGATGATGAGGAAAAGGGTAAGCAACCGGTTTTACTTGAGAAATTATGTTGAATGTTTAGACAAACTACCGGTAAAGGACAAGGAGAAAGAGGAACAACTGGCGAAGGCAGCAAAGGTCAAAAGGTTTGTGCTTCGATATGCTAAAAATTGATGGTTTGCCTTCAATTTATATTTGTTTCTCTCAGAGAACACATCTCTCCGTCACCGACTCGTTCAACTGCCTCATCGGCATCGAAAGATGAAAAGGAGAAGAAAAAGGAGAGACAAGAAAGCGGATCGAATACGACAAATCAACAAAAAGAAACTATCGAGACACCACAACAAATCAAAAGAAGCGATTCGAATGCGAAAGTTTGTGTTTTGGAAGGGAAATTTAAAGAGTTAGAAGATTCAATAAGCGCTTGAAGCTTTAAACGTGTCTAAAATGGTTAGTAAAACTGTTGTTTCCAACTTGAATGTACATTTGGAGAGCCAAATCTGATGTTGAAGCTAGTTTTAAACTATAATCTGAATTGCTGAACCTTTGAACTGATCGGATTTTGCAAGTTACGCTGAATTAGAATGGGCTAGTGATAAAAATCCATTCAGTTCATTGATATCGAAGAAATCAAGTGTTACCACTTCAAGATTGTTTTAATTTTTAGGAATTCAAACGCGAACGCAGTGTGGCTAAGGATTTGCTGCATAGGAAAGAACGAAAAAGAACGGATTCGGTGTCGACGACGAGTGATGAAGAATGTAAGGATTGAATTTTAAACGTACTTTGGTAGATTTGATTGAACAACGTAGAATTTATAGTTGGCTTGGTTTTATCGAATTAGAATTTGCACCAAATTAGAAATATTGTAGAATGAGACTAACTTTCGAAAGTTTAGCCCGAAAACGTAAAGAGAAACGGAAAAGTGTCTCCTCTTCCTCATCGAACGCCCCGCCGAACAATGTCAAGGAGAAAAGCGTGGAAAGAGGCGGTCCATCACAACAAAACAATATGATGATGATGGGTGGACAACCATTCGATCTCGCCAATGCACTTGGACAGATCAAGGATGATTTCGAGGAGGGACACGTGCAGGCACATTTGTGAGTGAAATGCGCTTTACCTTGACCTAAGAGTTTCCTAAAAGGGGATCTCAAGAAGAGGCCACCGTACTCCGAGGGCACTTTTTAGAAAACGCTTTAATTGAGAGGAATAATATAAGAACTAGGAATAAAATGAAAACATGGTAAATTAATGAAATTGTGTTTTTCAGACTTTGCCAATTCCGACAAGGGCAAAATGTGCGAGCTCTCCATCTGGGGAAGTGAGTGATATAATGCAATTTTTTTAATTCAATGCTTTTAGTTGGTATACGGCCCGTGTCTTGACAAGCGAAACGCCAAAAGTCGAACAACTTGTCTCAATGTTGAAAGCGAAACCGGGAGAGGTGATTTTAATTGTTTCTTAAGAGTAGATGTAAAATTTGGATTTTCTTGAACCTATTAATCTTGTCTTATTCAGACAGGCCTTTCCGCCGATTCGGTCACGGCGTTGCGCGAGGCAATCAAGAAATCCGGGGCTTTCGTGCACTATCTGGGCTGGAACAGTCGATGTATGTTTTTTACCCTAAAATAAACAGCCACATGCACAACTTTGTAAAGATATTTTTGTATGTTTTCACAGTTTTCGTGTTTTCGATGGAATAAGCGAAGAAAGTGCCTACTTTCTTCAAGGTTCACTCATTGGCTGGAGATTGAGTGACCAGAGACCCTTCTTTGCCCACATTGATCTTCGATTACGCGGGTTTGACTCTGATTTCAGGAACTTTTTGTTGAGAAGGCTACACCATCGGCCGTCTTAGGATCCGCCAGATTTGACAAAGCTGCACTACTTTCACTGTGTCCTGTACGAATTAACTTGAGCCACATCAATGAAGCGAAAAGAAAAGAAGTTGAACAACTCCTTGGTGTGCCCTTGGCCACCCTGGATGGGAAAAGAAGACAAAATCCCTTGCCTCTCTTGCCGCTCGTCGTTCTCGTGTTATTCGCAGTATCTCTTTCTTTATTTCCTCTGTGACTTGGCAAGCTACTCTTCTTGTAATGATTGACTATATTATTGCCAACAAGGAGTATTTCGTTTTTTCTTGTGCATGTGGTTGGTTAAATGAAATAGATTTTTTAAATTACATATATTAAATTATAAATTTTAGATGACGAATTTATTCCGTTGCACAAGATGAGAGTCACGTTTAAGGTGAGATTTGAGTCAAATTATGAATCTATTTAGGTAAAAAAGGTGAAAAATCTATTTCTTACTTCTTTTCTTCTCAGGATGAAGAGGATTCTCGTCAAAAGACAACTAATGCGATCGGTGATCAGCTACCCGCTGAAAGAATACAACTTTTCATGGAGTAAGGAGTCTCCTTTTTCTAAAATTCTCAATTTTAGATGGTCATCCTCACCCGAAGGAATGGATTCATTTAAACAACGAAATTCCGATGAAAAGAAAAGCTTTTTGCAGACAATTGTAAGATTTTAGCCGTTTCACACGAATTCCAATTTTTGCAGGGTCCCTATCGGCCGCGTCGCTTCTCGATCACTCAAGTTGAACAACTATCGGAGAGTCTTGTAGGTTTTGTTGGCGTTGAAAGGGTTAACTTTTGATTTTGAAGCTGGATTGGGATTTAGGCAAATGAGACTTTTAGCTTCAAAATATCAATCTAACGTTGCTTGAAGGGGAACTATGGTTTTTTTGCGATTGCTAAGATAAAATCAGTGTTACTTAATCCCAACCCAACTTCTAAGGCTCTAGCTGGAGAATTTCTGTCGAAGACTTGTTCAAAAATTTCCATCTTTAGCAACAAAAACTCCAAAAAGAGGCGAATGAACGAAGCAGTCAACCGTCAATCCAATCACCACCCGGCACATCGACAAGTGCTGCTGGAAATTTGCAACAACAGGTAATTGATTGAACCTTAAAGCAACAGTGAAAGAATGTGTTAAATTCTCCATTACAGCCTTCTACTTCATCCGGCAAACCTTCCACAACTGGTCATTTAAGTGTTTCCTCGTTTTCTTCAACTCCCACGAAAGGCTTGTCGCAAGAGGAACAATCACATGGAAGTTTAGGTAAGTTAAAAAATACGAATTAGTTTGCGATGGTTGGAATAAATTGTTATTTTATTTTTCTTTAAGGTCCATCACCAACTGCCGATCAATATCCCCGGCGTGTCCGATCACCGATCAAGGGAACGACGCCGAGTGTTCAAGTTTCTGAAGTAAGAATTGTGTGGTTGAGTAGTTATTAAAGCTTAGCAAAGGTTTTACAATTTTTGACCAGTTTGTCATCTTTTCATTGCGTTTTCTTTAGGAACAAGTTGTGTTGATCGGAAATGCGGCATCGTCAATCAAAAAGGAGGTGATCGTCAAAGTGAAAATGGGTTTGTTATGACAAAAAGGTTTCTTGAATTATTTAAATTTTAGAAGAGACCGATGCTCGACAGAAAGAGGAAAAGGAGAGAAAAGAAAAAGAAGAGAAAATAAAGGTAAACGGAAAAATTATCACTGATTCAGTTAAAATTTTAGGAAGATGAACGAAAAAAGAAAGAAGACGAGGAGAGACGAAAAAAAGAGGAAAAAGAAGAAACAGAGAAAAGGAGGAAAATGGAAGAAGAAATGGAGAGAATGAAGAAAGAAAAGGAAAAAGAAGAGGAAGAGGAAAGGAAGAAAATCGAGGAAAGGAGAAAAATGGTAGGAAGTTTGGGAGCTAATTAGTTTGGAAGTTTGCTCAACCGTTCTCTTAATCAATTGATTTAGGAAGAAGAAGAAAAGAAAAAGAAGGAGGCCGATGAGCGAAATAATGAAGCGGAAAACAAGGAACGAGAGGAAAAGGACAAGGTCGGGAAGAGGAAACACGAGGGGGAGAATGAATCGAGTAAGTGATGGCTAATGATCTGGGCAAAGGAAAATATTTTCGAGTCTGGGCTTGACTGACCGAGCCGGACCTGACCCGCCAAAAGTGGATTTCTAGGGCCGGGTCGACCTGGTGATAATGTACTTGTTGCTTTAAAAATCAGAAATAAGCTGGTTGACTGTACCTCTATATAAAGTTTTGTTTAGTGAAAAGCTCCACGTCGACCGATGGTTCCGAGAAGAACAAAGGAGGAAGTCCGACAATGAAACAAAGGAAAGAGGATGTGGAAAATGAGATCGACATGGAGAAATTGCTGAATGGTGAGGGATTACTTGATTAGTAATTCGTTAAATTTTGTTAAAAGATATTCAGGCAAACTCGTTATCTTAGCTGGCAGTATCATTAAACGAATTTAAAACCTGATTTCAGAGGCCCGTGAAGTTTGCGCACGAAAAGAAGAAAATTCAGAGGTCGGCTCGGGTGCGGGGACGCCGTCAAGAGAAGAAAATGATGGTAAGTGAGGATTTCTATTTCTTAAATTTAGTTCTTTCAGTAAATCATAAAGACTTTGTTTTTAGATGCGGACAAATGGAGTGTTTCCGATAATCAATCGGTGGCCGGTGGAGTGCATTTGACATCGCCGACAAGAGGGTTTAGAGGGAAAAGGAAACGGTGGGTGATTTTGAAGTGATTAAAATGCAGAAACGCGAATTGTGCCAGTTCCACCTGTGAAAAACCTTGTAAAATCCCATACTTTAGACTGAATGGCCGCCAATCGTTGCCGCTGAAGAAGAAAAAAGAGGAAGAAATGAACGAGAATGAAGAAGAGGAAAGCGATGACGATATTGGTGAGTTGATAAAGCATTACTTTGACCTTACTTGACTATTGAGCTTTGAACGGCAATGATTATGACCATTTTATTCTTTGTTTTCAGAAATCCACAAGGAAACATTTGCATCGCTTCGGAAAACGACGATGAAAGCAATGGAAATTGATGGAAGTATCGATGACTATCAATCGCTTGACTTGGATGCATTGAGTGGGTGATTTGAGGAAATTTTCTGCTTTATTACTTAACATAACTTGTCTTCTTTAGGATATCCGTACAACTATCAACCACGGGATCTTGAGGAATCACGCTTGGTCGGGGAATATGTGAGGCATAGAATGGACGACTTGCACCATGTTTACGAGGAGAGCAAAAATGTGGTGTTGAAGTTGAATCGGATGGTCAATGAGGCGAGGCTGAGTGAGTTGTTTTTGAGGGGATTGCTTGAGAAAAAGTTAAATTATAAAGTTTGTAAATTCTGCCGTCTGAAAACCAAATAATCAATGGTTTAGGCTTAAGGCTTCTGAAATATTGAAGAAGTAGGCCAAAATTGGACTGATTTTCTTATTCAAAGCCTTTTTCAAACGTTTCAATGAAAACTAGCGGCTCATTGAATAATCTAAATTTAAAAATACAGGGATACGATATCTTGAACATACCTTGTAGAAAACTACGCATGGGGGAAGCTAGAAAGCCTATAAAGCCGGCTTATTTTAAGAAATGCGGCAGGATTATGGTAACTTTATTAGGAGGGCATCTTTTAGAAAACTCTAAGCTGTAAGGTTGGTTTATTAAAAAATAAAGCAACTTTTTGAGCCTAGGATTGACAAATTTTCAAACCTTTGAATTAACCCCACGATATTGAATTAATATCTAAATTAAAAAATGACGCACAATTACGGTAGCTTTATACTGAGCACACCTTTTAGAAAATGCTTTACGCAAGTGGGAGCTGAAAAGTCTTATCCAAATCACTCTTTACACCTGCAAATTGCAAAGATTTGTATGATTGACTTTTTGCAACGGTTTTCCGTTAATTTTAATTAATAAGTACCCAAATTTTAAAAGCTTTATATCTTTAGATACAGTTTTACGTTTTACACTTCCATTTCAGGACTGAGGAAAGCCGAACGAGCCGAGGAGAAGGCGGCGGCGAATTGCGAGACGAATCCCTCAATCACAACGACACCAACAATTCCGCAAACGTCGACAAAACCACCGAAAGACGAGCCACCCGGAATCGAGAATCAAAAAGAGAAAGAAGTGCAGCAAGTGTGAAATTGCAGTGCAGCAAGAAATTTTATGCATTTTTGGAGATGTCCTTGGTTCCTCCCGTCGAATTCTCGAAACGCACCCCGATCTCAGGTGTTTTCCTCTCAGCTTACCCATTTTAACCACCTACCCCTTTCTTCAATTCACAAAATTCTTGAATCTCTTTAAACTTCGGGTCTCTTTTTTTTCCGATTGGTTTGGCACCAATTTCCCTTTGCCTATTATATATTTTTTGACAATATTTTCATTTTGATCGTTTTTTCACTTTTTTCTTGTTTTCCAGTTTTTATCTTTTTCTCGTTTTTGATGTGTGTATTTTCCGTTGATCGGTCACTTCTTGTTCGTTCATTTATTAATTGAATATTGTTTTGGATAAAGTTTTGCTTATGGGAAGAATGGTGAAGAGGATTACGCTACCATTTGATAAGCGCAACTTTTAGAAATCCGTTTCAAGCGGAAGGCATTGGATCTTAAACAGGACAAAGGCCGATAAACAGCTGTAAGTTGTACAGTTCTTCAGGATAGACTTGATTCCAAACTATCCTCGTGGAAAAAGAAATGGAAGCTAGGTAGCAGAGGTCCTTGGAACAAACCTAGGCTTTAACCTAGCTATCAAGCGATGGGTTTGAACTTTGAATTGTCTCTTCACTCATACGACTGCCTACACTTTCCCCGCGATTCCCCTGAACCCATTCCATTATTTGCTCCTTCTTCTCCTTTCATTGTGTTTCGTTGTCGAATTTTTTCCTTCTCCTCACTTATTCACTACATCCATCCCTCCTTTCTACCACTTTTCGAGTGACCTCGACAAACAAATATTCCCCCCCTCATCACTTCAACGATTCGTTATTACTAAAAACTCTCAAATTCTATCACTAATCCTATATAGATTTAAATTTGATAAATCTTAATTTCAGAAATTTATCTCAATCGAATCAGAAATCTATCAGAAATCTTTTAAAACTTAATCTCAGAAATTTTCAACCTTTTGCTGAAAAGAGATGAATGCTGAAATGCTGAAAATCGAAATTCTAATGCTGATATTCTAATGCTGAAACTCTAATGCTGAAATTCTAATGCTAAAATTCTAATGCTGATATTCTAATGCTGAAAATGCGAAATTTTCATTTTTTACAATGTTTTTCTTTCTTTTAAAAAACAAATTGATTTTCTTTTTCTTTTTTTTTCTAACGTTTTTTCTTGGTTCTCCCCTAATTTAGGTCCAACCCTTTTCCCTAAAAAAAGAAAGGAATTGAAGAAATTGGAAAAAAAGGAAAATAGCCAAGGGAAGTACTTGAGCAACAATTCAGAGAAAAAAAATAGCTACTTTTTTTTCATTCAAATGATTTTGACGAAAATGAATTCAATTTTTTTTTTCTAAATCTTTTAAATCCTAAATTTAATTGAAAATTCTAGAAATGTGACATCCAAAATTGCGAAAAAAAAAGTGATCGTTTTGGTTTTTGTTTTTGAGTTAACCTTAAAGTTAAATCTTTGGTATTTTGGTATTTTTGGTATTTTTGAGTCATTTTTCAGCTCTATAGCACTTCATTGAAAGCTTTTATGCAGAAAAGAAATTTTAAAATAGGGCTGCTACGCAGGAGTACGCGATCATACTCTTTACCCGGTCTTCTATTCGAAGAAGGTACGATAAGCTCTCAGGTGTAAATCTGACTATATTATTGCTAGAAAATCTAGAGTCTAATAAGCTTTTTAGGGTAAAGATAAAGCAGCATTAAATTAAATGCCTTTTATTTACTATTAGATTTATAAGGGATACTGTATTGATAGAGAGTTGAGATAAAGAAAGGTAGAAAAATTGCACGTGTGGCTGACTGGTTAAGTGTCTTTTATCTTAATCTTAATAGGGTTCGAACCCCACATGCGACATGGTCACCCCCTTCGGATTTCCTTTCCCTTCGGGTTGAGAGATTTTCTGGAGGGCAGTCTGGTGGTTGTGGCCCCAGTTCTTTAAAGTGACAAGCCACTCCTTCATCGTCATCTTCCCTTCACCACCAAAAAAGCTATTTAGTTCCCCATTGAGCTTAGGGTTAGGGAGCCGTCTGTCATGACGTGGGTTAAGTTAAGATATAGCCTAGTATTGTGTGTGTCGTTGTATTGTGATTGATATATTTCGTGTATGCGATAAATTCACCACTGGTAGCCCCAGTCGGTATTTTTTTTTTTATTTTTTAAAGGAGACACTTTTTAGGAAATCTGCTTCTTCTCAGAAACCCGGAATGACAAAATTTACTTTTGACAAAATTTGACAAAATCCGGATTGTGATCCCCCAAATTTTGCCATGATACTCTTTACCCGGTCTTCTATTCGAGGAAATACGGTATGTGATTTCCATAGTCGGGGTAGGCTAATTTCCGCCATTTGATTTGCGCAACAGGGCTCATTTGCGCAACTGGGTCGTTTGCGCAACTCGCCATAACCTTCTTCTAAGTAAGCCAATCTTTATGATTTTGGTGTCATTTTGTAGATCTCAATAAGTGCAACAAAATGACACCAAAATCACAAAGATTGGCCAACTTAGAATAAAGTTATGGCGACCCAGTTGCGCAACTGACCCTGTTGCGCAAATAAAATGGCGGAAATTAGCCTACCCCCATAGTCGCCAAAATACTGAAATTGGGTTCAAATATGTGTCCGAGAGTTGACGAAAAAGCCCACAACGTGACGCTAGCTTAAAGATGAATGAGGGAAAAGTGTATCAAATCAAAAACTTATTCAAAAACTAGTGTGATAGCCATAACTGACAAAAAGGCGCTTGGAGTCGAGAAATTCTCGAGTTTAGTGACAAAATTTTGAGGGGATAACGCTGAAAAGAGAAAGGAAACCGAAAAGCCTCATTCTTGTGCCTCATCCGCCCTCATCCGTCCTCTTCCGCCCTCTTCCCTCCAGGGAAATACCTCCACATTTTTCTTTTTTCACACGAATTCCCCTTTTTCTTTCATAAATCCCTCAAAAATCCCCGTGAAAAGCCGTGTAACTTTGCTTCTTTTCTTTTCACTTTTTCACACTCGTATACAACAAAGTGAAAAGCCAGGAAAGCCAGAAATCTCTGACGCTAAGCTTTTCTAAGCTAACGTAAAGGATTTAGATTTGAAAGCTTTTTAATCTAACTCTTCCAAGCTTTCAAATCTAACTCTTCCAGGCTTTCTATTCTAACTCTTCCAAGCTTTTTAATCTAAGTCTTCCAAGCTTTCAAATCTAACTCTTCCAAGCTTTCAAATCTAACTCTTCCAAGCTTTCAAATCTAAGTCTTCCAGGCTTTCTATTCTAACTCTTCCAAGCTTTCAAAACTTTTCAATCTTTCTAAACAACTTAACTCTTCACCAATATTCTATAGAATTCGATTGATACTCGAGAATTTCATTGCCAGATTTGAACTCAAGAATTTCTTCTTCTAAATGATTGCTTTACTATTGAGAGTGAATGGAATGTCCCCTTTCCTCTAAACCGTTTCCTAAAACGTGCTCCTTTCCCTCTTTCTACTAACAAATATATTGAGTATCTACTAGATTTAAAAGAGCAATGCCTGTCTGTCTGTACTCACTAATCCTCTGCGCCCAGTGGAGTTTAAACTAAATATAAGTGATTTCAAATCACTTATTGTTAGTTTAAATTAGAATTTCATGTAGTTATGCAATATGTTTTTAAATTTTTAGAAAAACCAAAAGTACCAATGCGGGCCGGAGTCGAACCTAGGTCATTGAGCTAGAGGACAAGTGCGTTCGCACTGCGCCATCTAAAAGAGCATGACCAAGTGGTTAACGCGCGCGTCTCTCAAACACGAGGTGATTCTTTAATGGTCACTGGTTTTGCACGAGGTCACGGGTTTGACTCCTCTTGGCGCTAATTCTTATGATTTTTGTTCCAAAATCTTTTGCTCTTAGCTACGTTGAAAATATTAACTGAAAGCTAGGAGTTTATTCTCTAGAAAGATCCGTAATATATTTAGTGATTCTTTAATGGTCACTGGTTTTGCAGAGGCGGCTAATACTTAACGTCCGCCAGCAAATTCCCTCTGCTTCGAGAAAAGGGACTAGAAAAAGAGTTGCCTCTCTTTTTCTTTTCTTTTTCTTTTCTTCCTCTTTTCAATCCCTTTTTCATCGTCTTTTGATGAAAGATGATGTCTTAATACAACTCTTTTTCGATGAGAATATTGCTAATGGAGCAGGGAAAACCGAGTGAGAGACTTTACGTCGTTTTAAACGAAAATCCAAAGATAACCTTGAAAATTTCAAACATTTTTCGCTTATCTGGAGCACATCAAACATTTTCATTGAATTTTCTCTTGATTATTTTTATCTTCTTCTTTTTTTTATGTCGATCTCGTACTCCAATTCATCTTTCTTTACGAGCAAAACATCAAAAATTTCATCTATTGGGTTGGTGAATTAAAAACTGCCGGGACTTTGAACTAAAATTTATTCAACATAAAACCATGAATTCATTCGAAATAACTCATTCCAAATTTCCATTATTATTGACGACTTCTGCCCATTTTACAGGCAATTTGCGGATTCCTCTTTCGTGGTAGGATTTTGGTTTTGAAGCGAAAAAATTCCAAGGCCAATTTTTGACTGCTTCTTCCGAATCGAAGTGTTCTCCCGCAAGCTCATTACTCATGATCCGGAATAAATAGTAATCAAGGTCCGGACTGTATGGGGCGAGGTCCGGACTGTATGGGGAATGCGCCAAAAGTTCCCAAACAAGGCTATTTATTTTAGAGCGAGTCAGTTTTGGAACATGAGGGCGCGCGTTGTCGTGGATGAGAACGATCTTTGACTTGGAGGGCCTATTCTTCTTTAGGGATTCATTCACCTTTCCCAACTGTTCGCTGTATTTGATTGCATTAACAATCGTCTTGCTATCCAGCAACTCCCAGTACAAGTGTGTGAGACAAGTGTGAGACTCAAAAATGGAGGACTGGAGATGTCCCAGTGTCCCAGTTTGAGCACTTTCTTCAAAAGAAACCCATTTTGGTGTCAATAGAAAAGTTGTAGAGAATCAAAAATTAGGCTTATAGCCAAATTTCCAAAAAGATGCACTTAGTAGTTTCGCTTAAAATGCAAGTTTTGTGAAAATTCGGCATTTCTTGAAAACGGGTTTTGGAATCGTTCTGAAAATTTGGCTATAAGCCTAATTTTTGATTCTCTACAACTTTTCTATTGACACCCAAATGGGTTTCTTTTGAAGAAAGTGCTCAAACTGTCACATATGACAATAGCCGGCAGTTTTCAATTCACCAATCTAATAGATTGAGATTAGCCTTGATTTGAGGAGAAGTCAATGTCCAATTTGAGGATTCGAGGCCGGTCAGAGTAGTTTGGCAAAGGGAGAGGGAAGGGGGTTATGTAAAAGCCCTGCGCCAGACGACGAGCGATTACGCGGCCGCACAAAGCCGGCAGTTCATTGGCACCAAAATGGGTTTCTTTTGAAGAAAGTGCTCAAAATGTCACAGATGACAATAGCCGGCAGTTTTCAATTCACCAACCCAATAGTTCAACTTTTTTGCAAATTTTCATCATTATAATGAAATTTCTCCTGATTATTTTTATTTTCTTCCTTTTTTATGTCGATCTCGTACTCGAATTCATCTTTCTTTACGAGCTTTCTTTCTTTAATTTCATCTATTTTCCTTTTTCATATAATTTTTGCTTCTAAAAATTATTAGCATTTAGCAAATTTTTTCAGAGAAAATGCAGCTACTTTTGTATATATTTGGGTTTTCTTTGATTGCTCAATTCGTGGATTCACTTGATTGCTTCTCTTGTGGAGTTTTTCTTGCGGCTCCGACAAAAGGTTAGCTTAAAGAAAATGGGTAATCGTTATCGTTATCTTTATCGTTATCGTAATCTTTCTGTCTACAGTATAACAGTATAAAAACCTCTATTCTTACCATAAATACTGTAATAGTACCCCACGCCCCTCGTACAGTCGCGTAGTCGCAAAAGTTTTTTAGTTTTACATTTTTTTCAAAGCGCCCGTACTTTCAAAAAAATGCGTCTTTGGTATCAAAAAATAGCCCTGAATTTCAGCTATTTTTTGATAACTAAGCGCGCATTGTAGCATAAACCAGTGTCGAGAAAAACCAGAAAAACTCGTTCAAAGCTAGACTACACGACACTCCGCACCGTCATTATGGGGGTGGGGTACTATTACAGTAATTACCGTATGTCTTTCCCTAGCGATTCAAAGTTTTAAGCATTTTATTAGTCAAGGTTTAAAAGAAGCCTTTTCCACAAAAAGAAAGTAACTGATTAAAGAGGTGATTAGAGTCAAAAGTGTTCATTTTTACAGAATGTACAGAATGTACAGAATTACAGAACAGACCTTTTTACAGAATGTAGAGGCACACCGCTCAACAACACGTGTGATCCCGAGAATTTTGGTTGTCTGACAGTGATCGCACCGAATTTGGTGAGTAATGAAAGGAAATGATTTTGATTTTTAACGAAAAAACTCCCAGGATGGCTCATTTTATGTGGAAAAGCGCTGCGCTGAGAGAGATGACGAGTTGGATGAGGGCTGTGTTTCGGTGACGGTTAGGGGGTTTGTTTTTTAAAAAAAAGTACAAATTTCAATCGATTACTTTCTCAGCAGTATAAAAAGCATGCCCATAAAGAACTCTGACACTTTTAGAAAGCACAATATTCAAAAAAAGAGTCCCATCCTATGCTGTAATAAAGCAAAATAGTAAAATTAGCCGTAAGATCTTGCGCAAGGCTTTAAAATCGTCTTCTCCGTAACGAAAAAACATTCAGAATTTAACAATCTAACAATTCTAACATTATCTAAGTATTCTTATTACTACCGTAAATACTGTAAAAGTACCCCACGCGCATAATGACGGCGCGGAGTGTCGTGTAGTCTAGCTTTGAACGAGTTTTTCTCGACACTGGTTTATGCTACAATGCGCGGTTAGTTATCAAAAAATAGCTGAAATTCAGGGCTATTTTTTCATACCAAAGACGCATTTTTTGAAAGTACGGGCGCTTTGAAAAAAATGAAATACTAAATGAAAACTTTTGCGACTACGCGACTGTACGAGGAGGGTGTGGTGCTATTAAAGTATTTACGGCAAGTATTCTTATTACTAAGTAGTATTGATGATCCAAATCTAAGCACAAAGTATTCAGTTGCCCATTGGCTATCATCAAATCCAAATCTTTTTCAGACTTCGCGGTGAGCAATGTCTGTGCAAGGGTGATCTTTGCAATTCTACACCGTCAACCCAACATTTCAACGCGTTTCTCATATTCATTTCGCTAATTTTCTCTACCGGATACACTTTTCATTTTCTGTGAATTTTTATCTAAACTTTGCTCGATACGGGTTTTTTTTTGCAAAAATATTATATTGAAAAAAACTGCCGATGACTTTTACTGTAAAATATTGATTTCGATAAATTTTTTTGATCTGAATTAAACGAAAAATGCAAATTAGAAATAGAAAAATAGATTAAATACGAGTTGATGCAAGAAGAATTGTTAGTTGAATTGTTTAATGAAATTGTTTAGAAAAAAAATTTTCCTAACACTCTAATTTTCTTTCAATTTCAATTTCTTTCATTTTTTCCAAATAAATGTTTTTATTTAGATATTGCAATTCCTTAAATCAAATCGACATCGAATAAAATGTACGACGAAAAGGTAGCAATTGTAATCGACAATGGTTCTGGAATCTTGAAGGTGGATTTTGTGAGGGTTTCTTATTTCTAATAGGCTCATTTCTAATTTTTTGACAATACACGATGCCCGGAAGGTTCTGTTACTTTTGAAAGCGGCGTTCAGGTTAAAGAAAGACAAAGGAGAAGTGAAAACGATAGTAAAATCAATATTTAAACTTATTAAAATTAAGCATTTATCATAAAGATTCATCAAAAATATGAGGTTTTATTGTCATTTCAAGTAAAGCTCTTTGTTCTTTAGTCTAGAGAACAAAGAGCTTTACTTGAAAATGTTTGATGTGCTTGAGATAAGCGAAAAATCTTTGTAATTTTAAAATTTATCTTTGGATTTTCGTTTAAAACGACGTAAAGTCTCTTACTCGTTTGACCTGCTCCATTAGCAATATTCACATCGAAAAAGCGTTGTATTAAGACATCGTCTTTCATCGAAAGACGATGAAAAAGGATTGAAGAAAAGAAAAAGAGAGTCAAGTCTTTTTCCAATCTGTGTTCCAATTTGTCAGCATCGAGCTGACAAATTCAGTGATTAAAAAAGCTAGAGTAGGCTAATTTTCGTCATTTGCCTCATTATTTGCGCAACTCGCCATAACTCTCTTCTAAGTGGGTCAAAATCATAAAGATTGACCAACTTAGAAGAAAGTTATGGCGAGTTGCGGAAATTAGCCTACCTTAGCGTATCGGAGATTTCCTTTCTTTAATCTTTTGTTAATCGGATTTTATGACGCTTTTTTTAAAAGTAACAGAACTTTCCAGTCACCCTGTACAATTTTAAATATGTTTTGTTGCAAAATGTTTTCAGCAATATTTTTTCGTTAAGGTTTTCTATGCGTTCTTTAGGAAATTTTAGGACTTAATAGTGACCGTAAATACTCTAATTGAAGGGCACCCTGGAGGGGAGTGAGAAAAATAGAAAGGCATGCCCTTCAATTACAGCATTTGCGATACTTTTCATGCCCTTTTAAAAATCTTGTTGCTGTAGCACTTGCTAACTTTATTAATTTATCGTTTTAGGCTGGCTTTGCAGGCGATGATGTTCCGGATTTCGTCTTTCCGTCAATTGTGGGTCGTCCTCGTTCTACGAATGATTTCTATCAACCATGGGAACAGTTTATTGGTGATGAGGCTCAATCCAAAAGAGGCTTCTTGACGCTCAAATACCCAATTGAGCATGGTGAGGGTTATTTTGAAGTAACTAGAAGTGATGGCCTAATTAACTTTCTTCGTTTTAGGAATCGTGACCAACTGGGATGACATGGAGATGATCTGGCATCACACATTCTGCAATGAGCTTCGCGTCGCTCCAGAAGAACACCCAGTGCTTCTCACCGAGGCTCCACTCAATCCAAAGGCAAACCGCGAGAGGATGACTCAAATCATCTTCGAAACGTTCAACGCGCCCGCGATGTGTGTCTCCAGCACGGCGAGACTCGCGCTTTTTGCTTCTGGACGTACTACTGGTAAGGAGGCTAAGAGTTACTTAATTGTAAGGCTTAGGAAAGATAGAGCACTCTGGTCATACAGGGCTTAGCAGAATTATCCGAACAACTTTTTGGGAAAATAAGTTGTCGCAATTTATTTCAAAAGTGTCAAGTGCTATATGGACAATTGTAGCCCTTAATCTTGTCTATATTCATCTACTAAAAATTTCCCAAACCGCTTTATGAAACTCATTTAACAAGTTCTTGAATGAGCACTAGTCGACAACTATCCGGCGCGCTGCGATTTTTGACGATTTCTAGAAGAAGACACAGGGAAAAAGGTGAAATTTGACCATTTTTCGATATTTAGTTCACATGAGGATCTTATTTTATTAACTGTTATAACGCTATGAAATTGTTGGAAATAGTTTTTTAAAAATGTACACAAATTTTACTGGATAAAGTCCTTTTTAGCTAAAAATTTTTATGTAGAAAATCATCAAGAATAGCAGCCCGTCGGATAGTAGTCGACTAGTGCTCATTCAAGAACTTGTTAAATGAGTTGCATAAAGCTGATTGGAAAGGTTTTAGTAAATAAGTATAGCCAAGATTCAGGGCTACAATTCTCCATATACCACTTGACACTTTTGAAATAAACTAAGGGTGCGAAAACCACTTTTCCAAAAAGTTGTTCGGGTAATTTTGCCCAACCCTGTACATTGGTTCAGGCCTCATACTCGATTTGGGTGATGGTGTGTCCTCCGTTGTTCCAATCTACGAGGGATATGCTTTGCCAAATGCAATTCTGCGCTTGGATCTTGCCGGTCGTGATCTCACCCATTATCTCATGAGGGTATTTGATTAATGTTAGCGTTAAGAAATCTTTCTTTTTAGATGGTCATTGAACGCGGTTACTCATTCTCGTATCGCGAGTTTGTGCCAGACATCAAGGAGAAACTTTGCTACGTCGCTTTGGACTTTGAGCAAGAGATGTCAACTTCTGCTTCATCGTCAAGCCTGGAGAAGACCTACGAATTGCCTGATGGACAGGTCATCACCATTGGAAACGAGCGATTCCGTTGTCCTGAAGCTCTCTTCCAGGTGTGCTCATTATTGTTCTTTAATACTGATTCTTAATGTTTAGCCATCTTTCTTGGGCATGGAATCGGCGGGAATCCACGAGACTTGCTACAACTCGATCATGAAATGCGACATCGATATCCGCAAGGATCTCTACGCAAACAACGTCTTGTCGGGAGGAACCACCATGTACAGTGGAATCGCTGATCGCATTCAGAAGGAGATTCAGGGCTTGGCTCCAAGGTAAGAAATTGTTGGTTGGGTTATAGTAGTAACTTTGTTTTTTAGCTCGATGAAGGTGAAGATCGTGGCTCCCCCCGAGCGCAAATACTCTGTGTGGATTGGTGGATCGATTCTTGCATCACTCTCTACTTTCCATCAGATGTGGATCTCAAAGCAAGAATACGATGAAAGTGGACCAGAAATTGTACACCGCAAATGTTCCTAGATGGTATTTATTTTTTTGTGTATTTGTTTTATTTGCACATACTTTCTGGTTTTTACTAGAAATTTTTATAACAACTCTTGTCGCTTGTTATATTTTCATTTTACACGCATCCTTATTTTTATGCTTCTTATTAGGTATATTTCTAATGTTTAACAGTGCAATAAACTTTGTAACAGCAAAAAACCAGCTTTGGCGATAAACCGCACAATGGCTTTCGTCTTTTTAATGGCATTATTACATTTTGAAGAACCTTCGTGCACAGCGCATGTAAATTTCTATAAGGCCTTTCTCATACCGTATTAGATTCCCAGACAACAGATCACCAAGCAAATTGTTTTTGCGCGTTTTCCTTTTAGACTCGTTATTTTTTCATTAATTTGTTTACTTTCAGTTTCTTACAAGGGTGTGATGTACAAGAGTCAACTGGGTGTGATGGCGAAATGACATTTGCCACGGGTTATTCGATGCAGAATTCAACACCGATTTCGAATCTGCTTGTTAATAATCCATACAAAATAATTCGCCAATTTTTGTTCTTTTCGATTGGGATCTCTTTGTGCCGAAGGTGAGCGAAATTTGTAAATCACGACTCTCACAACTATACCCGGATCGAAATTCGAAATTGTTTATTTTTACAAAGTTTCTTAGAAAATTGAGCTTATGATTCTATACACCACGGGGCGTTGATCGTTCTACCTAAACTAAAAGGAAAGTTCCCGAAAAAAGGGCCATTTTTTTTGCCACGATATTTTGTTGTCGAGTCGGGTGTGTCTCACATTATGAAGTCCCAAATCGCAAAATACATAGAGAAAGTCATTTGTGCCCGGAATACACCAAAAAAAGCACACATTACTTCTAGATGCATGAACATCATTCAAAGACCATAACTTCATGAAGCAAGCAGTGCCATACAATTTGGACATAGAAAACATTCCTTTGAGCAATGAGCTTGATCGAGCCCCTAGATATCTACTTCTTCCCCCGGTGAAACAATTGATAAAAAGAATAGTGAGCCATGTAATTGCCAACGATATCGAATTTTCAATTAATTTCAGGGACTCGTTAATCAAGATCGTTTCCGTTGTACATTCGCAAATGGGCACATCGTGCTTTCAGGCCTTCCGTGAGTATTCGTGAATTAAAATTGGTTACCTAGGTGCTCCGCTAGTTCCTTTCGATACTCCAACTTTGGACGACTCCAGCGTCTGCTTCAACCTTGGTATTTGGCCCTGTCAGACGGCAAATTGTGCGTCTTTAGCTTTTACCGTATTTCCTCTAATAGTAGTGCATCGCAGCGAGCCGAGTTGGTGATTATTTTACGGCTTTCAAAGTTTTCACGGAAGCTCAACACTCAAATCCCCCACAAGAGTCAGCTACATTTTCCGATCCCACATCGATAGGTTCTGATCAGCACTTTTTGAGACTTCGAGAAATTTAGGCAAGGCTCAGGGTGCACTACTATTAGAGAAAATACGGTATGTCTTGTGCTCCGATGCAACATCAAATTATGTTTTTCCCATTTCATATTTCAATAACATCAATGTTGATTCCTTATTGTTTAATGTTATTGGGTTGGTGAATTGAAAACTGTCGGACTTTGAACTAAAATTTATTCAACATAAAACCATCAATTCATACCAAATAATTTTCATTATTATTGACGACTTCTGCCCATTTTACAGGCAATTTGCGGATTCCTCTTTCGTATTAGGATTTTGGTTTGTGTGTGAGACACAAAAATGGAGGACTGGAGATGTCCCAGTTTGAGCACTTTCTTCAAAAGAAACCCATTTTGGTGTCAATGGAAAAGTTGTAGAGAATCAAAAATTAGGCTTATAGCCAAATTTCCAAAAAGATACACTTAGAAGTTTCGCTTAAAATGCAAGCTAAAATGCGTAATCGTTATCGTTATCTTTCTGTTTACAGTATAACAGTATAAAAACCTCTATTCTTACCGTAAATACTGTAATAGTACCCCACCCTCCTCGTACAGTCGCGTAGTCGCAAAAGTTTTTTAGTATTTCATTTTTTTCAAAGCGCCCCTACTTTCAAAAAAATGCGTCTTTGGTATGAAAAAATAGCCCTGAATTTCAGCTATTTTTTGATAACTAAGCGCGCATTGTAGCATAAACCAGTGTCGAGAAAAACTCGTTCAAAGCTAGACTACGCAACACTCCGCATTGTCATTATGAGGGTCGGGTACTTTTACAGTATTTACGGTAGATAATTTTAGAATTGTTAGATTGTTAGATTCTGAAGGTTTTTTCGTACCTAGAAGACGATGTTAAAGTCTTGCGCAAGATCTTACGGCTAATTTTGCTATTTTGCTTTATTATAGCATAGGATGGGACTCTTTTTTGAACATTGTGCTTTCTAAAAGTGTCAGAGTTCTTTATGGGCATGCTTTTTATACTGCTGAGAAAGTAATAGATTGAAATTAGTACTTTTTTTGAAACAAACCCCCTAACCGTCACCGAAACACAGCCCTGATCCAACTCGTCATCTCTCTCAGCGCAGCGCTTCTCCACGTAAAATGAGCCATCCTGGGCGTTTTTAAGTTAAAAACCAAAATCATTTCCTTTCATTACTCACCAAATTCGGTGCGATCACTGTCAGACAACCAAAATTCTCGGGATCACAGGTGTTGTTGAGCGGTGTGCCTCTACATTCTGTAAAAAGATCAAAAAATGAACACTTTTAACTCTAATCAGCTCTTTAATCAGTTACTTTCTTTTTGTGGAAAGGCTTCTTTTAAATCTTGTAATAAAATGCTTAAAACTTTGAATAGCTAGGGAAAGACATACCGTAAATACTGTAATAGTACCCCACCCCCATAATGAGGGTGCGGAGTGTTGTGTAGTCTAGCTTTGAACGATTTCTCGACACTGGTTTATGCTACAATGCGCGCTTAGATATCAAAAAATAGCTGAAATTCAGGGCTATTTTTTGATACCAAAGACGCATGTTTTGAAAGTAGGGGCGCTTTGCAAAAAATTGAAATACCAAAAAACTTTTGCGACATTTTTCCTAATACTCTAATGTTCTTTCAATTTCAATTTCTTTCATTTTTTCCAAATAAATGTTTTTATTTAGATATTGCAACTCCTTAAATCAAATCGAAATCGAATAAAATGTACGACGAAGAGGTAGCAATTGTAATCGACAATGGTTCTGGAATGTTGAAGGTGAATTTTTTGAGGGTTTCTTATTTCTAATAGGCTAATTTCTAATTTTTGACAATACACGATGACCGGAAAGTTGCGAAGAAAGTTATGGCGAGTTGCGCAAATAAAATGGCGGAAATTAGCCTACCCCAAAAAGCTGGAGCATAAAAAATGCTTATTCAGTTTTATTTTTAAAAAGGAGATATTTTTTTTTAAACTGACCATTCTATTGAGCTAGAAATCGCAAAGCTATAACCATTTTACGAATTTCGAAATGAGAATTGCAAACTTCTGAAAAAGATTGTTTATTGAAACCATTGAGCGAGTCTAAATTTTATCAAAATTTGATTTCATATAATAAAAATAGTTAACTTTTCTCAAAAATTAAGCCGATTACCTTTAATCTTTTGTTAATCGAATTTTATGACGCTTTTTTTAAAAGTAACAGAACTTTCTAGACACCCTGTACAATTTTAAATACGTTTTGTTGCAAAGTTTTCAGCAATATTTTTGGTTAAGGTTTTCTATGCATTCTGTGTTCTTTAGGAAGTTTTAGGACTTAACAGTGATCTAAATACTCTAATTGAAGGGCACCCTGGAGGGGAGTGAGAAAAATAGAAAGGCATGCCCTTCAATTACAGAATTTGCGATACTTTTCATGCCCTTTTAAAAATCTTGTTGCTGTAGCACTTGCTAACTTTATTAATTTATCGTTTTAGGCTGGCTTTGCAGGCGATGATGTTCCGGATTTCGTCTTTCCGTCAATTGTGGGTCGTCCTCGTTTCTATGAATCGTGGGAACAGTTTATTGGTGATGAGGCTCAATCCAAGAGAGGCATCTTGACGCTCAAATATCCAATTGAGCATGGTGAGGGTTATTTTGAAGTAACTAGAAGTGATGGCCTAATTAACTTTCTTCGTTTTAGGAATCGTGACCAACTGGGATGACATGGAGATGATCTGGCATCACACATTCTGCAATGAGCTTCGCGTCGCTCCAGAAGAACACCCAGTGCTTCTCACCGAGGCTCCACTCAATCCAAAGGCCAACCGCGAGAAGATGACTCAAATCATCTTTGAGACGTTCAACGCGCCCGCGATGTGTGTCTCCAGCACGGCGAGACTCGCGCTTTTTGCTTCTGGACGTACGACTGGTAAGGAGGCTAAGAGTTACTTAATTGTAAGGCTTAGGCAAGATAGAGCACTCTGGTCATACAGGGCTTAGCAGAATTATCCGAACAACTTTTTGGAAAAGTAGTTGTCGCAACTTATTTCAAAAGTGTGAAGTGTTATATGGAGAATTGTAGCCCTTAATCTTGTCTATATTCATCTACTAAAAATTTCCCAAACTGCTTTATGAAACTCATTTAACAAGTTCTTGAATGAGCACTAGTCGACAACTATCCGGCCTGCTGCCATTTTTGACGATTTCTAGAAGACACAGGGAAAAAGGTGAAATTTGATCATTTTTCGATATTTAGTTCACATGAGGATCTTATTTTATTAACTGTTATAACGTTATGAAATTGTTGGAAATAGTTTTTTAAAAATGTACACAAATTTTACTGGATAAAGTCCTTTTTAGCTAAAAATTTTTATGTGGAAAATCATCAAAAATCGCAGCGCGCCGGATAGTGGTCGACTAGTGCTCATTCAAGAACTTGTTAAATGAGTTGCATAAAGCTGATTGGAAAGGTTTTAGTAAATAAATATGGCCAAGTTTAAGGGCTACAATTCTCTATATAACACTTGACACTTTGAAATAAATTCAGGGTGCGAAAACTACTTTTCCAAAAAGTTGTTCGGGTAATTTTGCCCGACCCTGTACATTGGT